CACTACATTACACTACACTACACTCCACTACACTACGCTCCACTACACTACACTACATTACACAACACTACAACTACAACTACACAACTACACCCCACTACACTAAATTACACTACGCTACACTACATTAGACTCCACTACACTCCACTACATTACACTACACTGCACTACACTACACTACACTTCACTACATTACACTACGCTCCATACGCTCCACTACACTACAACTACAACTACACAACTACACAACTACACTCCACTACAATACACTCCACTACACTCCAATACACTAAATTACACTACACTACACTACATTACACTACACTACACTCCACTACACTACACTACATTACACTACACTACCTTCCACTACACTTCACTATATTACACTACACTACACTCCGCTACACTACAACTACACCTGCGACTACACATCTACACTCCGCTCCAGGAAATTACACTACACTACACTACACTACATTACACTACACTACACTACGTTCCACTACACTCCACTACACTACACTACATTACACTACACTACATTACACTGAATGACACTGCACCACAGATAGACAGGTAGACAGATAGATAGATAGACAGACAGGTAGACAGCTAGACAGATAGACAGATGAAAGAGAAAGAGAGAGAGAGAGACAGAGAGAGAGAGAGAGATAGATAGATAGATAGGTAGGTAGGTAGGTAGATAGGTAGATAGATAGGTAGATAGGTAGATAGGTAGATAGGTAGATAGGTAGATAGGTAGATCGGTAGATCGGTAGATAGGTAGATAGGTAGATAGGTAGATAGGTAGATAGGTAATTAGGTAGATAGGTAGATAGGTAATTAGATGAAAGAGAGAAAGAGAGGGATAGATAGATAGATCGATAGATCGATAGATACATAGAAGATAGGCTGGTAGGTAAGTAGATAGTCAGAGAAAGAGAGAGAAAGAGAGGAGACGCTCAAGCACCTTTCGGTCCATCAGTGGATTCGCTCTGCCATCCCTGATTCACAACAGCCAATCTCTCCTATAGGTTTCCTATTTTTGAAACTTCCGCCACGGCCTTGTGCGGTACTACTGGAATGTATGTAATGTAATGCAATGTAACGTAATGCAATGTAATGTAATGTAATGTAATGCATGTATGTATGTAGGTATGTATGTAGGTATGCATGTAGGTATGTATGTGTGGTATGTATGGTATGTGTGGTATGTATGGTATGTATGGCATGTATGGTATGTATGGTATGTATGGTATGTAATGTATGTATGGTATGTAATGTATGTAATGTATGTAATGTATGTAATGTATGTAATGTATGTAATGTATGTAATGTATGTAATGTATGTAATGTATGTAATGTATGTAATGTATGTAATGTATGTAATGTATGTAATGCATGTAATGTATGTAATGGTTGTAGTGTATGTAGTGTATGTAGTGTATGTAGTGTATGGAGCGTATGCAATGTATGTAATGTATGCAATGTATGTAATGCATGTAATGTATGTAATGTATGTAATGTATGCAATGTCTGTAATGTAATGTAATGTAATTTAATGTATGTAATGTATGTCATGTATGTCATGTATGTAACGTATGTAATGCATATAATGTATGTAATGTATGTAATGTATGCAATGTATGTAATGTATGTAATGCATGTAATGCATGTAATGTATGTCATGTATGTCATGTATGTCATGTATGTCATGTATGTCATGTATGTCATGTATGTAATGTATGTAATGTAATGTAATGTAATGTAATGTAATGTAATGTAATGTAATGTAATGTATGTTTGTATGTCATTAATGAATGTATGTAATGTAATGTAATGGAATGGAATGGAATGGAATGGAATGTTATGCTGTGTTTTGTTTTGTGATGTTATGTTATGTTATGTTGTGTTGTGTTATTACGTACGTACGTACGTACGTACGTACGTACGTACGTACGTATGTATGTATGTATGTATGTATACATACGCACTTATGTGGCCTATATGCAGAGATTTCTGGGTGTTTTTGCATGACTCTGCGTGTTTGTGGGATTGTATTTGCAAGGTATGTGCTGATGCTCTGTATAGTCGTAAAGACTGTCTACTAACGGCTCTCTTCAACAGAGAGGTTCTTGGTTTTCCACCAAACGAGTAGGATGATTTTGTGTTTTGTTGTTCTTGCGGACTTTTTAGTTGCGATGGGCTCCATATATTCTCTTGCTTAATATATATATAATTATATATATATATATGTAGATTCGATAGATAGATAGAGACAGAGATAGATAGAACTCGATATATAAAATGGATTCTGTTTGAGTATCTTGAGCTGTTCTCTCTTGAGATCGCCAGGTCCGACGTGACACTGCGGCAAAGGCTGAGTCCACTTCGAGCGAAGGTCCTGTGCAAATCTGCCGTCCGACAGAAAGAGACACTTCGAAATGCTCTCAGGAATCGTAAATGAGACCTGCATCAGTTTGAAGTGTTCCTTTTTTAACAGATGTTGTTTTGCTATGCTGCTATAGCATGTGGTTTGCAGCAAGCAGCAAAAATGCTCTCTGCAGAGACGTGAGCTTCTGAGATCTCAACCCACAGGTCTTGGTCGTTTTCGTCACACATCGAAGTCTTGTGGACCCAAGTCTTGAGATTTTTTTTATACCCCGTCTTTGGACGGTTTGGACGGTTTGGCTGACATGGAGGCGTTGAGACCGTTGAGACCGTTGAGACCAAGTCGAACTTGCTGGAGGCATTTTGGAAGTTCTTAAGGCAGGGACGGATCAGCCAATGTGAGACGAGAGGTGACGTGTTTGGCGCCACATCATATATTCTGCATCACATTTTGAAGAAATGCATATAGTCGTATAATAATATAGTATATTATAGTATCATATAGTATCATATAGTCTGATAGGCTCATGTGATAGGCTCATGTAGGATCCAAAAAACATATTCCGTATGCCTTGGTGATCGCACGTCTTTCTCTTTGTCCTCTCCATTTCTCCACCGTGCTTTGTCAGGCCGCATACAATCCGGGGCACCATTCTAGGTGCAATTGCTGCTGAAGCATTTGAACTGAGATATGAAACGCACAAGTCAGGAAAATTGTAGCAATTCGATTCTTTGCTTCACTTAACATTATCCCTCTCAACGATGAAACTGTACTGTGCTGACTTGTTGACTCATGCCTATTTCGAGTTCTGTGGACGTGTCAACCCACTAGCAAAGACTATGGTGGCATGCCGATGCAGAAGCAGAATTCAGCGAACTCAAGCTGCCACTTGTGATATAAGCAGATCTAAGCCCTATGCCGTTGATACCTGTTTGCGGACAGGTTCTAGTGCTATGGTAACGCGTGCCGTCATTGAGAATGGCCAAGCGCCGGACTGGTGATGGCCCTATTGATCCTATTGGGTGAGTGGGGCGCTCCAGATAATGATGATATTTGATGATATTTGGTAACACTTAGAGTAGACAGTATACCGACAGTAGACTCAGTAGACTCAGTAGACATTGATTCGACATTGATTTGCTCTGATTATTGTACATTGATTTGCAATTTGATTGTAATCCGATTGGATTTGGATCAGATTTCTGGAACCATGTCAGGTCGCTGCTGCCAAAAGCCATGCTAGGAGTCTTGACCTTGCTGTGTGGCAGCTCTTCTCAATGGCGCACAGAAGACACGTTAAGACACGTTAAGACACGTTAAGACACGTTAAGACACGTGAAGACACGTGAAGACACGTTAAGACACGTTAAGACACGTTAAGACACGTTAAGACACGTTAAGACACGTTAAGACACGTTAAGACACGTTAAGACACGATAAGACACGTTAAGGCACGTTAAGGCACGTTAAGACACGTTAAGACACGTTAAGACACGTTAAGACACGTTAACACACGTTAAGGCACGTTAAGACACGTTAAGACACGTTACGATACGTAAAGAAGACACGTTAAGAAGACACGTTAAGAAGACACGTCAAGAAGACACGTCAAGAAGACACATTAAGAAGACACCTTAAGAAGACACGTTAAGAAGACACGTTAAGAAGACACGTTAAGAAGACACGTTAAGAAGACACGTTAAGAAGACACGTTAAGAAGACACGTTAAGAAGACACGTTAAGAAGACACGTTAACACGTTAACACGTTAAGAAGACACGTTAAGAAGACACGTTAAGAAGACACGTCAAGAAGACACGTTAACACGTTAACACGTTAAGAAGACACGTTAAGAAGACACGTTAAGAAGACACGTTAAGAAGACACGTTGAGAAGACACGTTGAGAAGACACGTTAAAAAGACACGTTATAAGAAGACACGTTATAAGAAGACACGTTATAAGAAGACACGTTATAAGAAGACACGTTATAAGAAGACACGTTATAAGAAGACACGTTATAAGAAGACACGTCATAAGAAGACACGTCAAGAAGACACGTCAAGAAGACACGTCAAGAAGACACGTCAAGAAGACACGTCAAGAAGACACGTCAAGAAGACACGTCAAGAAGACACGTTAGGAAGACACGTGAAGAAGACACGTGAAGAAGACACGTTAAGAAGACACGTTAAGAAGACACGTTAAGAAGACACGTTAAGAAGACACGTTAAGAAGACACGTTATAAGAAGACACGTTATAAGAAGACACGTCAAGAAGACACGTCAAGAAGACACGTCAAGAAGACACGTCAAGAAGACACGTCAAGAAGACACGTTAAGAAGACACGTTAAGAAGACACGTCAAGAAGACACGTCAAGAAGACACGTCAAGAAGACACGTCAAGAAGACAAGAAGACACGTCAAGAAGAACACGTCCAGAAGACACGTCCAGAAGACACGTCCAGAAGACACGTCAAGAAGACACGTCAAGAAGACACGTCAAGAAGACACGTCAAGAAGACACGTCAAGAAGACACGTCAGAAGACACGTCAAGAAGACACGTCAAGAAGACACGTCAAGAAGACACGTCAAGAAGACACGTCAAGAAGACACGTCAAGAAGACACGTCAAGAAGACACGTCAAGAAGACACGTCAAGAAGACACGTCAAGAAGACACGTCCAGAAGACACGTCAGAAGACAAGAAGACACGTCAAGAAGACACGTCAAGAAGACACGTCAAGAAGACACAAGAAGACACGTCAAGAAGACACAAGAAGACACAAGAAGACACAAGAAGACACGTTAAGAAGACACGTAAGAAGACACAAGAAGACACGTAAGAAGACACGTCAAGAAGACACGTCAAGAAGACACGTCAAGAAGACACGTCAAGAAGACACGTCAAGAAGACACGTTAAGAAGACACGTTAAGAAGACACGTCAAGAAGACACGTCAGAAGACACGTCAAGAAGACACGTCAGAAGACACGTCAAGAAGACACGTCAGAAGACACGTCAAGAAGACACGTCCAGAAGACACGTCCAGAAGACACGTCCAGAAGACACGTCCAGAAGACACGTCCAGAAGACACGTCCAGAAGACACGTCCAGAAGACACGTCCAGAAGACACGTCCAGAAGACACGTCCAGAAGACACGTCCAGAAGACACGTCAAGAAGACACGTCAAGAAGACACGTCAAGAAGACGCGTCAAGAAGACGCGTCAAGAAGACACGTCAAGAAGACACGTCAAGAAGACACGTCAAGAAGACACGTCAAGAAGACACGTCAAGAAGACACGTCAAGAAAACACGTCAAGAAGACACGTCAACACGCGTTGAGACACGTTAAGACACGTTGGGACAGGTTGAGACACGTTAAGACACGTGAAGAGACGTGAAGACACGTGAAGACACGTTAAGACACGTCAAGAAGACACGTTAAGACACGTTAAGACACGTGAAGACACGTGAAGACACGTGAAGACACGTGAAGACACGTTAAGACACGTTAAGACACGTTAAGACACGTTAAGACACGTGAAGACACGTGAAGACACGTGAAGACACGTGACGACACGTTAAGACACGTGAAGACACGTGAAGACACGTGAAGACACGTGAAGACACGTTAAGACACGTGAAGACACATTAAGACACGTTAAGACACGTTAAGACACGTTAAGACACGTTAAGACACGTGAAGACACGTGAAGACACGTGAAGACACGTGCGAAGACACGTTAAGACACGTCAAGACACGTGAAGACACGTGAAGACACGTGAAGACACGTTAAGACACGTTAAGACACGTTAAGACACGTGAAGACACGTGAAGACACGTGAAGACACGTGAAGACACGGGAAGACACGCGAAGACACGTTAAGACACGTTAAGACACGTTAAGACACGTGAAGACACGTGAAGACACGTGAAGACACGTTAAGACACGTTAAGACACGTGAAGACACGTTAAGACACGTGAAGACACGTGAAGACACGTTAAGACACGTTAAGACACGTGAAGACACGTTAAGACACGTGAAGACACGTGAAGACACGTTAAGACACGTTAAGACACGTTAAGACACGGACAAAGTATGAGAGTCAGCAGCATTGCATGGACTCCAGTGGCCCAGGACACCTTGGACTTTAATCATCTGCAATCCTCACTTCATGTTGTTTGAGCAACTGGTCATTTCCCAAGGTAATGGATACATCGTAGGCATCAACCAGATCTATGACGTCAGCATTGTAGAAGCCTCAGTTTGAAGCTGACTCATGCAAAGCGAACCAAAAACACAACAAACACACCAATGTTGCTTTGACCAAACATTGGCTTAGGGCTGTGAATTTGTTTATCCGGAGTCTAGCAGTGCATTGTATGGGATACATCAAGGGACTAGGCAGCATTCTTTGGGTCCTGTAGGATGTCATCAACAAGCCGTTCCTGCCAGTGGCTGCCAAAGAGCTCTCGGTATCACAGGCCAAGTCGACGCATTTGCTGTGCGGTCCATGCCTGAAAACTGCTTTCACTCTTCGATCTTCGAATCTTTTCCAACTTAGATCTGGCTCTCACCAAATCACCTCTTGGAATGACAGCAAGAAGGAATCATGGGTGTGGCTTTGAAGTTTCCAGGGTTCAATCATCCAATTCTTTTCCTGGGGTCACTAACCATGGTTCACAGTCTTTCTTGGGGCTTGATTGTTCGATGTAAAAGAGCAAGGGGGGTTTCCAGGTTTGGCTTGAATGCGTACAAATACGTGCAAGCACAAATTGGATCAAATTTGATCGAAGGCATGGGTTGCAATTATTGCAATGGCAATCGGTGGAACCTGGTTGTCGTACAACCTCTTTGGTCTGAGACCAAGACTACATCAATGTCCCTTTTTTTTCACTAGCCCTCTGTTGTGCGAACCCATCCCAAAGACTTGAAGCACAGAATGAGCTGAATGAGCTGTGTGAGTCACTGGGTGAGTGCTTTGTTTGCCTCTCTTTGTTCGAGGTCCTTTGATCGGATCTCTCTATGCCTTTGGGCTTTTCCTCGGCACTATCTACAGCGTTCCGTTGGGGCCTCGGGCTGGACCTCCCTCTGTCATAACAACACTTCGTCATACTTTTTCTTGTTTGTCCCATGTCCATATGTCATGTCGGTAAAACTTGCATGCCGTGCTTGAATACTCAACACTTAGCGTGGTCTGCAGGCTGATAAAAATAAACATATCATATGACCCCTATGACATGCAACATTCCCGCTGCTCCTCAAGCTGTACCCAGAAGTGGCGACAGGGCAGGAACCCCTCTGCCCTGGAATTCTCGACGTCTTAGGCTTTGCTATCTTTGCTTGAGATCATGCGTGGTGTGTTCATGTTTGCGCTGCTGGCACAAGTGCTATGTGTTCGCAGTGAGACCTGTGCAGATGACTTGTGTGCTGCCCTCCAGCAGGATGACAGCTCCGGTGCTGTTGAACTTCTCCAGGTGAAGAGCAAGCAGGAATCCAAGGACTCCAAGGAAGATTCCACTGAGACTGAGGTAGATGCTGAGTCCAAACATGGTGAGGAATGGGTCCACTACAATCCTCCTGGCTGGCGAGGTGGCCCCGGCCGAGGCTATGTCCATCACAACCCCCCTGGTTGGCGAGGCGGACCAGGTCGTGGCACTACCTATGTTCATCACAATCCCCCTGGATGGCGAGGTGGCCCGGGCCACGGCACCACCTACGTTCATCATGGTGGCTACGGCTACCGGCATCACACAACGGTGTACCACCACCACGGATGGCGTTGAGACGTTGAGACGTCGAGACGTTTTGAGACTGTAGGGCTATTTTGAATGTGTCTGACTGTCAGAAGAATTTGCAGACACAGCTACACTGCCCAGCTCAATTATGTGGCGAGAAAAAAAATGCATTGATATAGAGTGATTGCGATGAAATCCATAAAATCCGCTTTTTCATTCGCACCTGGAAAAGCGCCTAATCATGCCCAATCGACGTTGTTTGTTTTGAATGATTCTGGTGTGGTTGGTTGGTGGTTGATGGTGATGAAGGCTCTGTCTCTTTTGGTTTGCAGCAGCTTGCATTTTCATCGTTTTGAAGTTTTGATGATTGCAGGGGGAACATGAGATTTATATTCTCGAAGACCCATACATACTGTAGCGGCTATAGCAGGTTTCAGAAGCAGAAGCAAGGTAAGCCACAGAAATTGCATGGGCTTTGATGATCTTTAATGCAAGTTACCTGAAGATTCAAGTTTTGAAAAGCCATCTTGTGCTTTACGACCTTCTCATGTATTGGTTGGTCCTTTCTGAATGCTCAAGCTGTACCCAGAAGTGGCGACAGGGCAGGAACCCCTCTGCCCTGGAATTCTCGACGTCTTAGGCTTTGCTATCTTTGCTTGAGATCATGCGTGGTGTGTTCATGTTTGCGCTGCTGGCACAAGTGCTATGTGTTCGCAGTGAGACCTGTGCAGATGACTTGTGTGCTGCCCTCCAGCAGGATGACAGCTCCGGTGCTGTTGAACTTCTCCAGGTGAAGAGCAAGCAGGAATCCAAGGACTCCAAGGAAGATTCCACTGAGACTGAGGTAGATGCTGAGTCCAAACATGGTGAGGAATGGGTCCACTACAATCCTCCTGGCTGGCGAGGTGGCCCCGGCCGAGGCTATGTCCATCACAACCCCCCTGGTTGGCGAGGCGGACCAGGTCGTGGCACTACCTATGTTCATCACAATCCCCCTGGATGGCGAGGTGGCCCGGGCCACGGCACCACCTACGTTCATCATGGTGGCTACGGCTACCGGCATCACACAACGGTGTACCACCACCACGGATGGCGTTGAGACGTTGAGAGGTCGAGACGTTTTGAGACTGTAGGGCTATTTTGAATGTGTCTGACTGTCAGAAGAATTTGCAGACACAGCTACACTGCCCAGCTCAATTATGTGGCGAGAAAAAAACATGCATTGATATAGAGTGATTGCGATGCCTGTTTGTTTCTTTTGATGTGGAAACAGTTTTGCTCCTCACCAAGCGGTTTCGGGCTGCATCAGCCGCATGTGCTTTGTTAATCAAGGCCTCTACGCCTCAAGAAATCTGCAATTGCCGCAGCGATGATCATTGCCACTGTTCGTTTCGAAGCTGCATCAGGATTCTGTTTGAAGGTTTCTACATATCTATTTGACGAACAAAAAAACTGCTTGCTTGTGAAATGCGATTCAAAGATAGTCAAAGCACAGTTGATTCATGTCATGTCTTTGCACGTTTGAGGGTGCACGGTCAACTCTTTAGGTTTGTTGTGACATGTTCAGCGATGAATCAACATCTTTTCTCGCAGATCAGCAACTGAGTACGTGCCGCTTTTTGTCACAAGCATTCGACGCATTTGGCCTGGCACAGGCGGTTTCCTTCTAAACTTCGGTGTCTACTACGCCACCCGAGCTATGCCACAAGCTTATGACCGCTATGACGTTGGAGAAAATCCCAAACTCTTTGAAATTTGAAGGCCCGGGAGCATTTCAATTTCAACGTATTTCAACTGTGGCGCGTCTGACGTCCCGTGCTCTTTATGGAAGGTGCATGGTCAAGTAGTGAAAGACTGAGTGCACACTTGCCTTAGGCTCGGCGTGCCATTCGGATGGAGCTACCCCACAATTTTCATTACTTGCTTCTGCTCGGCCGGAATCTCATTCGATTTTGGTCGTTCCGAGTCCATTTTCCTTGAGATATTTTGAGATCTTAACGTCTTAACTTTGGTCTCCTGAGCTGCCCCGATGGCCTGCTCGTTTCAGCCACAGATATGTCACGGCAGGTCTATGCCCTCGTCATTGCAGTCACAAAGGCTTGCCGCTTTCTGCACTTTGGTTGGGATCCTTTCTGAGTCTTTCTGGTATTTTTTGATGTACTAGTTGCAAGATGAAGATCATCAAGATCAAATAAGATTACTGTAATTTGATGAAACCATGGCTAAATATGGCTAAATGATGTTAAATGGCTATGAGGCTATGAGACTCAAGAGTTCCAAGAGACATCGAATAGCACCAAGCCTCCAGGATTTACCAGATGTTCAGGGTGACCTTGAGAATAAGATCGATGCTTGGCTTGCATTAAGAGTGTGGGCAATTGCATTGCAGTTGCATACAAGTTTATTATAGTTTACTTAGCTACGAACTATTTGCCCTTGCATGCCCTTGCAGCTTTGAGTGACTTTCTCCGACTTCGTCTGGTTGTTTTCAGCTGAGGATACCTTTGCAACACGTTTCGGCGTAGGTTCGACTTGATGGTTTGCTGACATTTGACATGCACCAATTCACTTTTCCGACTATGTCCTGCAAGCCCGTCTTGAACTGGTGAAGCACCATGAAGCATTATCGATCAATTATTAAACATCACAAAGCTGCTGTGTTGTAGTACAAGCCGATCCAAAAAACCGACAAGGCACGGTTGCAACAGCTGCAAGTGCTGTGCTGTTGGCGAACTACGGCGCCGCCTTGGTTTAGAACTTAGGTATGGATGTGCGGCGACGGCCGCACTATGCTGTGCGACGGCGTTTGCGTATGGCGCATTCAGTACCCAGTACACTGATGTACACTGTACACATTTGTATACATCTGTGCAGTGTCTCAGTGGAACAAAGTATCCAACGTTTCAGAGACCAGGTCTGGACCAACAGCCCCGCTGCCGCTGCTTTTCGGCCAAAGATACTGCTGCGTGAAACTCAGAAAAGCTCAAGCCAGTTGCCCATATGCCGTAGAAAATGCCGTTTTCTTTCACTCACAGGAAACTGGAATTAAAATCAAGCAGATACTCAATTGAAGCTTGGGGCATATGAACTGAAGTTCCTATGGTTTTCTTTTTGGAACTTCAGTTTCAAATTGATGCAATCCCAATCAGGCCCGCCCATGCAATTCTTGCATCGCTTCTTGCCGGGGCCCAAGGGAAGTTCAGGTGGGAGATCAGGCAAGAAAACACACATGAATGATATGAATGATATTATGAATGTGTGGATTGCGGATTGTGTCAAAATTTATGGTTGTTTTGCCTCAGTGATTCGTTCTCGACTGTTCTTGTCTTGACTGTGGGATTTGTGTCCTGTGGAGCTGGGCGAGGTCCGTGGGCTGATCCGACTTCGTCGAGCTCGCTATAGTCAAGAGGGCCTGAAAGCTTTCTACAGGCGGCCTTTGAACATTGTGGACTTTTGGACAAAAGTATTGACTCACTCTGAAATTTTCTTTGCAATAGTGTAGTAGCTCTGTTTTCCCACCAATCTGAAAACAGCACACAGAAAGATATTATAGATTTCCAAAAGTTGTCCTGTGGTTCCTTACTCCGGGTCCTGTGGTTCTGCAAAGAGATTGTGCTGTGGGCACTTGTGGGCTCGGGTATACCATCCTGTATTAAACTTTGTAGGTCTCGATGCCAGAGGCAACGTGGTGAATTATTCTCGGACAGTTTCCCAGGCTGATTTGGCTGCTTTTCTACTCAGAGTACTTCCTGTTTCCCCTTGTCGGTCCCTGAGTGCAAGACATCAAACAGCTTTACCGGAGCAGAACTGGGAAACCATCACATCAGAAGCCAGGAAAATCATCTTGGAGTCCGTGTACCAATGTGAGAATACGTTTTGATTTTGATGTTTTTGCCTTTATCAGCATGTCTGCACTTTCTTGCTACTGTAACATCGTTAAAACGAGAGTTCATCTTCGAGGTATGATTTTCCTCCGCGCAGCAAAGCGAGCTGATCAAAAAGGAGGGAGCCTGCGTCCTTTGAGGAATGCAACGGAATGTGTGCAGTGCGCACCTGCGAAGTATTGATCTAAGTATTGAGTATTCATGAGTATTGGTTTTGTATTTGACCAAAAAACGAGTCAACAGTGTCAACAGTCAACATATTCCACCGCAGCGTTTCTTTTTGCTGTAAAGAAACTTCTTGGGGCAAACTTGGCACGTGTCTACTAGGGGGTCATGGTCAAAGTTCGAATGTGCCTCATGCAGAAGAAACTACCTATTTAAGATATTTTAAGATATCCTTAGCACTTTGACATCGAAATGGCTACAGCCTTCAGATCATGATTCCACGTTGGAAGGTCCGATCGAGGCACAAGATGAGAAAGATGCCTTTGACCAGCAGGTGCCGAAAACATCCGAAAACCATCGACACGACCTGCCGACATGACATGACAAAAAGTATCGGTGAATTGCACGGTGCGAAGGAACTGCTCGCACTGCACTTTGGAATGTCGACAGGTCGACAGGTCGACAGGTCCTTGACAGGTGACATGGTCATGACATGTGCGGTTGAGCGATCCGCAGTGCTGTGTCAGGTGCATAAGGTCCTGGAGCAGCGCTTCAACCTGGATGGAAGTCCCATGGCGGCCATGGCGAGATCGAGGGACCAAAGTGAAACTTGTTGCCTCGAAGCATCGCGAGATATCTTTGCCAATCTATTGCAATCTTTACCGACTTTAGCACTTACAGTAGCACAGGACTTCCAGGCTATTGGCTAGAATGATACGCAGAATCTCACTTTCAACCTGCTAAGTGTAAGTGCTGCTTGTCTCCTCGGACTAAAGGGTGTCACAATGTTTGTGTCACATTCGGGCTGATTTTGGGATGACTTTGGTATGCTTTAGTCGATATGAACTGTCAGCACGTCCTGGACCATGCAGAAACAGAAGTCGATTTGACCAGCGAAATGAGACCTGAGAGGTGTGAAGACTTTGCAGCATTTTTCAGATATCAATCTTCACAATTTTCACAATCAGAGATAAATCTTCAGAGCTGAACCTCAGAGATAAATCTTCACAATTTTCACAATCTCAGTCATGCACAGTTGTAATGCACTTGCACTTGAATTGAACTGCGCCTTGATGAATGTGGCAGCAGACAGACGTGAAAAAGACATGCATGCCTTGGCTGAGCGCCATGGCTTCCGCACACCTTGGCAGGTATCAAAAAGTACCCCCCCGTACTTTGTTATTCATGACAAGACTTTTAGTAGGGTGGAATGGATTCCTGCCGAAACGGAGCGAGGTTTTACCAATCTCTACAACGAAGGCAGTTGGGATGGGATTTTTTTTTTGCTGAAGACTGCACAAAATTTGGAAACCAGCATAAGTTAGCCAGCTAAATTTCCGGATGGTAGGTCTAGGGTCCAAGATGTTTAGGCAAACATACAGACATGACATGCATCAATTTCAGGTTTTGATCAAGGCCACACGTGTTTTTTTTTCAAGGGCTTGAATCAGAACAGATGCGCCTTTCCTTTCGAGAGGCCAAAAAACATGTTTTCATGCCTTTTCAAAATCCTTCTCAGAATCCTCCAAGTTGCATACTTTTTTTTTGGTTCTTACCTCTGGTCTCGGGATTGGCAGAACACTGTCTCAGGTGATGACTCCGAGACATGGCAGAGAGACGCCACAAAGGCAGGGCAAATTCATGACATGCTTAAATGAGACAACCAAATTAACCGATATTTTCCATATTGTTTCACGGTTTTCTCATGGATCAGGATGTTACTCCTAGTTTAACTTGTGTTCTCAGAATAACCTGAGTTGAAGCAGTTGTCGAAGCACAAGAGAGTCTGTGGATATGGAATAAGATGAATCAAAAACAGTTTGGCCAGAACGTCAATATATTCGCAAGCAATGCCATGTGGGCCAACCGCCACGATTACTTCCGCTTTGTCCATCAGACCAAGATAGGTCCCCAGCTAGAATTTTTATTGAGTGCCTTTGAATCGGCGCTGAAATGATCTACAGCAAAAGGAATCAACGAAGCCGTAAAGAATTCTGCTCCGTCCATGTGTTTTTCGCCATTTGTTTTCATATGCATTTTGTAAGACTTGCGAAGATTGTGAAGCATTCCTGAAGCATTTTGTAACGTTTATTTGTAACATTTTGTTAGTAACGTTTCACTGTAGTGCGGATCATGCGTGGTGTGTCCTTTCCTAGGAGGCACGAGAGATCGTTTGGGGACGACGCTTCAAGGCGCTGCCACCAGAAGCAATCCGTGGTCGTATTTTCTTTTTTTGCAGCAATTGCAGCAGTGGCGTACACAGCACGAGTCTGCGAAACTCCATAGCCGGGACAACTGGGATAACCGCATACAAGGTTGAAGGAATGATAAGGAATGCAAGTCGCTTAATGTTTCAACATCAAGATGAGATCAATGATGCTGTAACTGTAACATTTCTGTGATGTAGAAATGTCTTGATGGCCTATGTTGCCTCGCAGTTATAAAGTCTTCTTTCAGCTGCTTCAAACCTGCTCCCCTAATGCAATCTTGGCTCTAGGTGTCACTTAGCAGTTGGCAGGGGAGTACTTGTGCACATATTTGAAAATTGTCCTCAATGCCAAAGACTAATGCCAGTGTCCAAGATTTCTGTCTAAATCAATTCTGGAAGCCCACACTATAGCAAAAGCATGCAAAAACCATTCAACCTTGAGACCTTTGCTGCATGTCACTTTTCAGTCCCACATGTTCAACTGGTCTATAAGCATACCCCTGCACAACAACGCTTGTTGTCAGCAGCGAACAAGACTGAAACGCCACCTTCTATATTCAAAAAGAGCAAGAAGGAACCGTTTTCACCTTTCATTCAATTGACCTAGCGGCAAGACTGTCAAGTGTCTGAAGCCACGCGTCGTGACCGTTGCACTCCAAAAAGGCTGGCTTGGCACTGCATTGGAGTATTGTAGTATTCATTAATCTTGGAATCTTCATCGGCTTGATTTTCATGCAAGTTGACAGCTTGAGGTCAGCATGATTGGATTCGTTTCGCCAAGAGTCATTCTCATTTCCTGACATTGATTCATGTCAAGAGCCCGTGCCTTGTGCCAGTCACTCGATTTTCTTCTCTTCCGCACAGGGAAGCATGTCCACCACCATTGAAATCATCGAAGGACTGCAAGGGAGGTGTCATTTCTGGTCAGATTGGCTTCGCTGTGCAGCGTTCAGGGAGCTGGTCAGGGTGGTTCGCATGAAACCAATGGTACTCCCGGTGTAACCCACGGAAACCCACTTCAGTCTGGTAGGACTATCAAGGACTATCAGAATCAAAAGAGATGGCCATTCTTGGAAAATGAAGAGTGTGAAACGTGAACAGCATATAGTTCATGATACATATACATATTAAATAAAAAATATATATATATATATGTAAATTACATACACAGTAGTTGTATTGCATATGTCCTTTGTGATCTGAAGTGGCAACAACGTTTAATTTTACGTAGCTTTACATTTGGGGACGCGACAGGTTGATTCTATGGCTTCGTGATGCTTCGTGTCAGGATGTACGGAGCGCACAAGCCGCCTTGGGCTAAAAAAGGCGATGCAGGTCGGCCCCGACCATTTGCCTGCAGGATCTTTACGTGTGACCTGTGCCTTTTGTCGTGTTTGTGTTTGTTTATTCGAAAAAACAGTTGTTTCTGTTTGTCAATAATTCAGCTTTGGGAAATTGCGAGCGTGGAGACAGGGTGGATGTATACAGCCGTGTTACCAGGTTCCTGGGTTCCTGTTTTCGTTTTTCGCTGTTCACCCACAAGTGCAATTGAATCAGCATGTCTACGATTGTCTACGCAAACATGTTTCAAGTACAGTATTGCCATATATTGCCATGCAGGCATGACCAGGCTTGTTTGCAACTTCTCAGTACTGACATTTTGCGATACGAACAAAAAAGCAACTTTTTGCATGGCTAAGGTGCTTGCATTTTATGGCCATTTAAAAACGTCGCAACTTGCAACATCGGTGAACACTTCAGAAGCGTTCGGAGCTCCAATCAGCTCCAGTTTTCAAGGGAAGAGATGAGCCTTTTCGAGTACAGTTTCAAACTGCCGACAGCTCACCGGTCCCGGCTCCAAACCTCACCAAACAGATTACAGCGAATGGGTGTTTTAGAATGCTACCTCGAAGACTTCTGGAAACTTCCCAGGACGGTGATACCAAGCAATGGATTGTGAGATATTGTGAGGAATGGCCTAAGATGACAAGACCAGTTTGTCACAACTTATCTTATGTCAGCTTGGAAGGGTTTGGGCAGATTCTTCGTGTTTTTTTGAGTTGCTTACTTTTGTACGGAAATCTGGAAAGTTGTTTGATAAGTTCGGATACCTTGGCCTCAAAATCAGACAGGTGTGGCCGAACGAAATCGTAGTGATTTGCGGTGAGTTGTGGAGAAGTTCCCAGCGCTGGCATCCCGCCGCACACTGTGCCCGTCCCGTGCCCCGCAGATCTATGGTGAGATCGACGCTTGTCACATGGGTGATCGAGCTGTGGTGACCTGAGATTCTGGCGCTGCAATGCTGCAATGCTGTCTACACAATGATGGGGAAGTGGTGACTGGATGACTGGATCTAACAGGTCAATACAGGTCATAGGCCATAGATATGTTTGACCTATGTTTGACATATGTTTGATATGCTGCCATCTTCGGTACCTGTTTCTTTGATCTTTGAAGATTTGAAGTCACAGCAGTGTCACAGCAGTGTCACAAAGTCTGCAGCGTCTGCTGCATTGCGCGTCCAAGGTTATGGGAGATAATTTCACTGAATATCCGCTGGTGCGATTCAAGTCCCAGCAGCTCAGCAGACAGTTCAGTCATGTTCAGTCGACTTGTGATCTATGTGGTTTTGCTATGTTTTGCTTCCCTATCCTGGCCCACCTTTTTCCTTGTGGAAAACTGTTCTTCCTGGTGGTGGTTACAATGTGATGCTGTCCAAGAAGTTGCAGGGTGTTGCAGGGTGTTGCAGTGTAGTTCTTGGAGTTTTGGATGCAGGACCGCAGCAGAGAATGCTCTCACTGCGTTGAAAGCGGGCCAGGCGCAGGGACTTCAGGACTCTTCAGGGACTTCGGGGAGTGCTCTTGATTCCTAGATCTGCTAAATCCGCTAGATCGGGAAGCATTACAAACTTCCATGAGAACGCGAGTATACGCGAGTATACGCGAGTTGAAGAATGTTGAAGAATGTTGAAGAGCAGTGCATCATTCTCTAAGACCTTGGCGCCTGTCGTGCTGTCACTATGTCACGCCAGAGCAGTCACTGGAAATGCCAGGTGTACCTTGATGGCATCCCACTAAAGGGTGAGTGGCGAGGAGGAACTCGCCGACCCAACCGCCGTGGCGAGGAAGTCAAGGCGATCGTGGAAATTTCTCAACATGTGCGTGGAAAATTAATTAGTGAACATTGTGAACATTGTGGACATGTGCAAAGATTACGAACTGTGTAACACGATATCTACAAGATGTTTGAAGATGCTTGCTGTTAGCTGCACATCATACAGCTGCTAATGTAGCTGCATTGCGACGTGAGGAAAGCATGCCACCACCCGCACCAGTAGACGCAGCAAGCTCAGAACTGTGTTCAAGATGGGGGGAATTTTTGATAAGAAGAGTTTCAGAGGTGGAGTGGAGCGTATATCTTCGATTGAAGAGCAACGAATCATTCAGTAGAGATCAGTAGAGGATTTGTTCTTCATGTTTTCCACTCACACCCATTCCAACTATGTTTCTGTTCGCAATAGAAGCTTTGGATGTTTTTTTTTTCAAGAGGTGCTATAGCCCTGTAGCAGCAGCTCTGCGTCTTTCAACAAGTTTTGGATGCTTTCGGTAGTTTGCGTGCTCCAAGTGATCCTGATTGTGTGACTGTCGTGTATGTGACCCGTGATGGCCATTGATTACCTATGTGACACTGTCCAATGTATATATTATATTATATATATACAGTATATACATATATCTATGGCACTATTCTATGTATATTATGTATATTTATATATTCAGTCCATCCAGTCTATGGCCTGCAATAGGAGACCACGAGTCGTGACCTGAAGCCCGAGAGCCGCGAGAAACGCCGCAGTGCGTCGACACGGCGCCGAAAACGCTCTCGCAGCCGCAGCCGAAGCAGGCGATGAGCTGCGGCAACGGTACCCCTCTCTGCCAAGATTTCAACAGGACGAGAACTTGAATGGAATCAATGGAGTCAATGGAGTCTAGATAGAGATTAATTAATTATACTTTTATACTGTATATACTAATGATTATACGGTATACGTCATTGCCATGCTTTAGCTGCAGTTTGACGGCCAACGTTTGGATCCTAACGTATTTTGTCACCAGTAGCCACAAAGGGCGTACAATTGCCTTCAGAAACTGAATATCATTGCGTTGCCTTTGTTTGATGGCCGCAAGGAGTGCCTGTTATGCCCGAAGGAAGTGTTAGAGTCTTTTGCGATTTTGATGTCGCTAGTTTGAAGATGTTTGAAGATGTTTGAAGGGGAGTTTTTGATTGAGTTTTATTTTGCGAAGTCATGAATATCACCAGAGATGGCATCGGAAGCAACAGTCAATGTCTACTTGGGCAGGCGCAGGCGCAATGCAAGCCCAAGGAAGGAAAAAAGTGAAAAGACTGCGGTGGGTGTTGGTGTCGGGAATCCAAGCTTTGAGTCGGATTTGAAGTTTAAAAGACACGGAGCTCAAGAAACCTACAAAGTGCACAAAGAAACAATAAAGAAATGAGCCGACAGGCTCGCAAGAATGCCCGGCAGTTAACTAGCCTATAGCAAAAAATTAAAGCAACAAACCACCAAACCGACCAAACAGACACGCATTGTTCGGAGAATGTTCAGAGAGCTTTGGACATTTTGATGCTTTGTTATGTTGTTCAACATGTTGTTCCATGTTGTTCCCCCGTCGTGCGCTGAGTCACTCTCCATCAATACACTGGCGGCACTCCTGGGGTGATGCCGGCAAATTTCACATAATTTCACTGTTCTTTGACGCCTCAAATTCGCGCTGACTTCAGATGTTTCATATTTCATGATTTTCATGATGCCGCATGTCGCCATTCTTTGGCAAATTGAATCTTGATTCCGCACTGTGAACAACTGGACATTTTTGGCAAACGCGAATAGGCACATTTTTTTTCCAGTTTCACCTCTTTGCATTCAAAGCTGGGCACAGCAATGATTAACAATCACATACAATCACTGCATCCTGTTACAGGGTGTGACTGCATTGACGGAAGACTGATGTGTTTTCTTGGGCGAATTGGACAGCAGGCTACCGGAGAACAAAGACGCCGGTAATGCAGAGTCTCAGCTGTCAGACAATCCATTGTATCGATTACCCGGCTTGTTTGACAACAAGTTTCGCTGAGAGTTATTGTCAGCCAAGAGTTCGCTGCTTTGAGTTGCCCAGGTGAAACGCAATGTGATATATATATATATTATAATATTATATAATGTGTATTATATGTATATATGTATATTATAATGTTATGTAGTGTGTATTATATATATATATGTATACTATGTATATTGAAATGTATTGACATTGTGACATATATTGAAATACGACACGCATGATCGGTCAGATACCAGACAAATATGCTGTAGAATGCTGTAGATGCCCATGAGATGTGCCAGGGCCCAAATGATTCTGACTTGGCGCAGCACTTCGGGTTATGGGATCCGCAGAGACATACCTTGAATCTCCGTGCGCTTCAGTCACCGGTCATAGGTTTGATCCCCTGAATTCATCGGAAGGTGTTTGAAGGATTCAAGAATTGATAAGAGTGACATAGAGTGACATAGAGTGACTGCATTCAACACTCATCACGGAGACACTACGGAGACACTCATGTTCCTGCGGCAGTCCGGTGCACTCCTCTGTCAAGAGACTCGGTATGCCTGGAATTGCCTGGAAACAGGCTAGGGCGGCTAGGACTTAAATATGGAGCTCTTGCAGTCTGCCGGCGCAGGTGTGTTTTTTAAGACCTTGCTAAACGACCAAACCCCCTATTTTTGTCAAATGCTGGTAGAAGGCTGCGAAGGTAGTTGAAGGACTCAGCAGGACTCAGCGGAAAAGCTGAAAAGGACGCAGCAACTCTCGTCAAATCTCTCGTCAAATTTGCGAAACCTGAAAGTTGCCCTGCAAATCCTCGTCATTCGTAGCGTAGCTGCGTAGCTTGCTGGCCAAGATTGGCCAAGTCATCGTCCAAAGGTGCGAATTGTGGACTCAGCCACTGACGGCGTTGCGGCAGAGGCAACATGGGATGGTGCGATGAGATGCAATGAGTGCAATCTGTGTGCAATCTACGTGAAGCATTAAAAACAACGATGACCAACGATGACCAATTGTGACATGTGACATCACGTGACCAATTGTGGCATACCAATGTGATATATTTTTGGAGCGAGCATGTCTGAGGTCCAATTTTTTTGATCACAATAAACTCAATTACAGATTACATATGATATCATATGATATCATATGATTATATAAATAATAAATATATTAATATTATTATATATATATATTAATATTATACACTAAAGCTTGGAAGACCTGTGCAAATTACCGGACCTAGCTTCACCTAGGCGGTTTCTAGATCTGCGAGGCCCAACATCGTCAGAATCGGGCAGAGGAGAGCAGACTCAAGGCACGACAGACTTGTGACGCAAATTCCATAAGATTTGACGCTTTGCTTCAGCTTTGGTCAGGAATTTGGTCATTTTATCGGATTACTTTTCAGTGACTCAGTGACTCAGTGCAAAAAACTTCTACAGAACTCTGTAAGGATTGACTCTCTGCCTATTTTGCATTATTTTGCCCCTTAGACATCCTTAGACCAGTTCAGAGTGTTCAGAGTGTTCAGAGTGCCTGCATGGGTCCCATGGGTCCCATGGGTCCCATGGGTCCCATGGGTCCCATGGGTCCCATGGGTCCCACCAAGGTGCGAGGATTAGCAACTGGCAGCGAGTTTAGCTCGACTCAGGTGACCCAACCTGCAGCCTGCACTGATGGCTTTGATGATTTTCATGGGTGAATCAGGTTGCGGTTGCGCGTGCAGACCATCTGTGTATTCCACATACTACAAATATCTACAAATCTGGACAGCAAAAGTCACATCTAGGAGGATGTGCTAAAGTAGAGATGCCCAGCAACAGCGGCGGTTATGTTTGTACATAACTTTCATGGGGGAACATGACTAGTTTTTGATAGTTTTTGTGCATCACGGTTGCACATTTTGCAGGTCCGTTTCTGGTAACGCAAAGAGTAGAGAACATGTGGAGTACGCGTGGAGTGTGTCGTGTGCCGTCCAGTCGAGTGGACCGAGCCAATCAGAGCATGACGCAGAGAGCTGCAGCCTCAGACTCGACAAGACATTTGAGGACGGAGCTCTGGTTTCGACGGATTTTGACTCAGGTCTGGTGAGATTTGTGTCCCAGCAGATATACAATGATATGCAGTATTTTTGCAAAATTCATCGTATTGTTCGTATTATGATGTTTTATGTTGTGTTACATGTCGGTCTCCAGTTCCTCAACTTTGTGCAAGGCAGCGATGACAATTCTGACTTGTATTTCCAGCAGGAGACTGCAACTTGTTGGTCACCAGTGCACAGTGCATACAGATCCGTCCATTCAGTGTGCATACAATCGTAACATATCGTAAGTGCACTAATCAATTATGTAATTATGTCATGTCTTTCCATTTGTGGCTACAGTGACAACATGATTCGCATGATGGTGTTTTCACCGGGGCTGGGGTCGCTGGGGACGTTTCCTTGTCAGTCTCAAACCCTGGCAGCCCTGGCAGGATTCTGGAAGTGAGCCTTTTGAAGGAAGTCCCAGTTAGCTGGACCATGAGAACCAAAGGTCCAGGTAGCATTCCAGATTTCAATAGATTCCAGGTACAAGCACTGTAGAACTTGTCTTTGGCCATTTCCATTTGCCGGATGGGAAAAAGGATGGAAAAGTGGCAGGGGTTGGATTCCGCGAGATCCTAGTGAGCAGAAAACAGTGGAGCAACTTGTAACATCTTGTAACAGTTGTACGCATTTAAAGCAGGTGCAAATTTGTGCATGGCACGACCCCTCAACCACATGAGATACCAGATTTGCGTAGATAATCATAGATATGCATAGATATAGGCCATCGCCCCGCAAGGAATTTCCGACGTACCAATGCGATGCAATAGCTGCAAGATGAAACGTGGGCATTACCGCTTGGATGATTCCTCGTGATTGTTTATGATGATACCGTAATGATACCGTAATGATTCCTCATACTATCTCATACTTCATGCTCCGGCGGGTCCGGAACCTCTACCATTTTTTTTCAGGCCATATGTCCATATCAGTCTCACATTGTCTCACCTAAGTCCAAAGATACAAGACTTAGATTGTGAAGGATCACAAAAGCAACCCAGTGCTTAGCTGTCCTTGAACGAGGCAGTATGTTTCTTTCAGTGACCGGAGGTATCATGAAACACCCAAAGCACGCGAAACATCTCAAAACTCGGTCCACTTTGAGTCTCGAGTCGCTGGCTGTGGACCTTTGTAGCTGAAACAGCACCAGATAGGACAGCTTAGTGTGAGTCTACCTTGAGATAGCAATTGTGCTTAGATGTGCTTAGTCATAGTCCAAGTAGTCTTCGTCTGGCTCGGGCAAAACGCTACTGCTCTTGGGAGGTTCCGGCTCAGACTTAAAACGTGTCCTCGCTTGCGCGTTTATCGGACACGTTTCAGGTTGGGCCTGCAGTGAGCATTGCTTTGGGAGACCACTAGAAGCATGTTTTCCAATGCCGCTGTCATTTTCCCATGTTTCTTGATTGACTCTATTGTCAGTTATTGTATGTTATTGTATTCTTCGTCACTCTTCGTCTTCAAGCAAATATCGTGTTGCGGTACGAGATCTTGAGGATTCGGTGTGAGCATTGGGAAGACAGAGACATTGCACCGGTGCTTCGCAGATCCATGGGGGCCAAGTGCTGTGCTGGCGAGGAGGCGGAAGTCTTAGTGTGGACAGTGGACGACAGTGGACGACAGTGGACGACAGTGGACATCAGTCGGAACCGAGATTGCCAGAGTCAGGTTGATCCATTTCGATCCACATTGATCCCATGAAATGATGTTCAAGACATTTCAAGACATGTGTTTATTTAATATGTCATACATTATGGCCTTTGGCCACATAAAGAGAATCTCTTCGACAAGTTTAGGATGTTTTGTAAAGTTTGCCAAATGCTGCCCGGACCTGTGAAACAATTAAGGAATCGCATGATGGCAATATCACTGAAAGCAAGCCAAGGCTGACCCGTGCTGAAGAGTCCAAGGGTCATAAGCTATAGATAAATAGAAATGAAATAAGCTATACAGAAGCTATATTACCTGTCCTTGTGTCATGATTTCAGACGCAGTTTGTCACAGTGCGGAGCCGTATTGAAATTCGACATAAACTGTATCCAATCTGTATCCATAGTACATTGAAGATCATTCAAGCAGGATCAGCAGGCCAAGGCCATGATTCAAACTCTCTTCACACCTGAGACCGGAGATTTCATAATGAGGAAACATGCTCACGAAGGCATACGAAGGCTTTAAGGAAAGCTGCGTTTCAATCGTGTGGAAAAACGCCATTGGACTATTTGGACCGAAGATGTTGAGAAATTTGAAGAAACTTGAAGAAACTTTCATTCCCAGGCCTATGCGCGAGGAGATCATTCAGCAGACGCAGGCTGGTGAAGCGCTGCAAGGGAGTAAAGTCTTGTTATGATGTTTTGTGATATCTAGCAATATCTTGCAATGTTATAATTATATAATATTATAATGTCTGACTGAGTTGGACTGTCTTATGATTCAAGTCTTATGACGTGTTGTGGATGTGTTATGGTAGTTTGTCAGAAAAGCATATGCCATGCCCAGCCATTATGCCTTTGCACGCCCAACGTGTCATGACACGTCCGACGTGACAAAATCACGCAAAATCACGGTTTGGGTTTTGGCAGGATGATGGCCGAGAGGCAGCTTTGGGTCTTTTGGGCAGCTTTTGACATGGACCTTCTGCATCGATGACACGCATAATTTGCCGCATAATATACGGTAGACATGAACCTTGTAGCATGAGATTTGCATGAGAGCAAAGGAAATCAGGGTCCAACCTTTTTGTTCCAAAAGTCTATAGTGTCTTCAGGTAGATAGACATTAGGATGACAGACGGTGGAGTGGTAGTCAGGGAAGGAAGTGAGATGAAGGGAAGATAATATCTCGACCATTCTTGACCATTCTTGACTACTGATTATCCTCAGGAACGGCGCCAGGGTCGGTAGGCTTGCGGAGTCTGTCTACACAGTCTACACGTGCAGTTTGGGAGACAACTGGGAGACAACCTAACAGACTATAACAGACCATAACAGACCATAACAGACCATAACATTTTGAAATTTTGGTAGTAGACACTTGCGCGGGCCTGTCCGTCTGCTAGGGCCTGTCGATCCCTGCCATCTCACGGAAAGGGTGCCTTGGTCCAACCTATGACTGTCAACAGCGTGGTATAAGTAAACGGTGCATTTTCCGCACCTTTACAAGCTTCTAAACAGGGGCACACTTATCCATGAGCGGTTTGGGAAATGGTTGAGAATGTTCAGAGATTCTCATGGAGCAGAGAATGTTTATTTTCACGACCCCGATGGAACATACCCTGTTTGATTGGAAAAAATTGAAGCCACGGGTCTTTACGTCCAGCTCAGCAATCTAGTGCATGAGTTGACACTAGCAAAGAGAGGATGGATTCATGGGTCAAGGGATCATCAGGGGCTACCCTGGGTGTTGTGCATTCTCGTTAGGAACATTTGCCTCTGCATGCAATACAACATTCAGATAAACTTTCTTCACTTTGGACCACCCCGATATTCCCCTTCAGTTGTCTCCCTTCGAGCGTATGTGGCATATAAAATGCATATTTTCTGTTTCTGCTTGACATGTTTCGAAATGCGTTTCCTATGCCACTTTGATGAGTCAGAGCCAGGGAGCCGATGGAATTCGACATCAAAGTGACAAAGGCGCGGCGGAAACGCTTGACGAAAGCTCGCTGTTGGGATTTCTTACTGTGTGGATTATTCTGGACTGGTGTGAAGTTCGGAGTTGTGGATTACATAGCTGTGGGATGCTGTGGGTTCTATGTGTTGCTTTGAATGTCCATCTCTCTGATTGTCTCTGATGCGGCGCTACTTGTAGAAGAGTCTGCACAATTGCATATCGCAGCACTGGAGCTTCCATATGTTGATCATACCTTGAGCATACCTTGATCAGATATGCATTATACGCGCTCTCACGTTGTTTCACGATGTTTCACGTTGCGCCAGACCTACGGGAAGTCAAGATTGGGCATCGATGTAGATCTAACTGATGGCTTTGGCCTCCTTATTGACCAGGCAGCGGCCGCGAGAACTTGGCTTTGAGGTTTTTATATGGTTTAATTACAATTTTGTCAATGTTTAAAAGACGTTTTCAAAGATTTTCTAAGAGATGAAAATTGTGAAAGTGAAATAGAAAAAGCATTGGGTGTACAATACATTGACCAAATCACCGTAGATCAAAGTTGACCAAACAATGATACAGGATGCTTTCATTTCTTTAGTCATCAGTGGCTGTGTTGCGAAACCAGACATGTTTGGCACAACACTGTGGAACAGTTTTAAGACTTAAGAAGTTTCACCCTAAATCTCTGCTTGCTTGTTGATTTGCTTCTTGATCTCTCAACCGAGGGTAAGAGCTTGCACCGTGCACTGCTCGCCAATGATTGTCAGTCCAGAGTCCAGATATATTTTAGATTTGAGATCATGTATATAAATTTATTTTAGATGCATAGACTGTCAAATGTGTGTGGTTAATGAGTCATGAGTCTTTGATCGTGTCTCAGGTTGGTGAGGGACTTGTCAAAGACTGGAACCAGGCACGTGTTTGACTTTTCAGATCTTTCGGTTGCACTTGAAACTGTCAGAGTCTGAATCTACAATAGTCTACGCCTTTAAACTGGCAGACACAAAGGGCTATGCAAGGACCACTCTTTCAGACATGCTGCAGTTGCATCTTGCATTTTTCGGGGATGGTGTGTACATGTGTCATCAACGTGTCTACGACAATTTCACGCACTCACTTTCCGGCAGAACCATCCAGAGCTCGCAGCCATGAAGGGGGACAGGCCAGGTGACACCACCACAGCCCATTTGTTTACGAAATGAGCAACACAGGAATTACAGAAATGAAATGGAATGATGATAATTAATGAACATATAATGTACATTTGCTGTTTTCACCCGGTTCACAAAGATGCAAAACATTTTTTTGGGAGCTTTACCCGAAAAGGCTGAACTCACAAAGAAGGGTACGTGGAGACGAATACCTTTGAGGGTTGCAATACACACTCCCACTGTACAAGAAAGCTGCACGGTTTGCTGCAGGCTGTAGCGCTCCAAGAAAGGTACGATGATGATGATGATGATGATCATGATGATGATGAAGACGAAGAAAATAAGATGAAGATGAATGACGATGTATGATTGCTCAGGATTGTGGCCGTAAATGGTATGCGCGGCGACGCGGCACAGATTACTGAGGCCCGCGACCATGGCTTCAATGCAAAATTGAATTTCTCATGTGAGCACGTTGACATATGCTGAAAGAGTTGAAGTGTCCTTTCACTTGACCACCATTCGATTACGGCAATTTTGACGTGTGGCAAAAACCCTGTAACTTTCCAAAGACTCAGAGGTCTTGACATGTCTTGACCACAATCTAAAGACCCAATTCGGCTGTTTTATCTCAAGTTGCTGCACGACACATCACGACACCAGGTTTGTAAAAGCCAAGCTGTTTTGCAGCTCACCGTTCAAAGGACCTGAGCTCGAATCTCAGACAGCAAACAGGTTAAGCAAACAGGTTAAGCAAACAGGTTAAGTAAACAGGTTAAGTGATGTTAAGAGATGTCAAGTGTGCAGACCAACAGATCCTAACAGATCCTAACAGATCCTGGCAGAAACTGATCACGGTGTGCGATGCTATGGTAGTTGTGTGTTGAGGCCGTGAGGATAGAACGAAGCAAGAAGCAGAAGCAGAAACCAACATAATATGAAAATAGATGAAACACGAACCATGTTTCAAAAAAGAGTTCAAACTTGTTCAAGAGTGTTTCTGTTAGTTTTCTGTCATTTTGCATCATTTTGTGCTATGTTCTGTGGGCAGAGTATGCTCGGGATATCCGGAATCTGTGGGTTCCTTTTGGGATTGCCCCAGGTGCCAAAGAGCTCACCTCGGAATAGTGAAGCCTCCCATCGCATGCATCTCATGGCGCTAAAACGCGCCACTCAGCAATCAGCACTGAGCATTCTCGTTTCAAAGTGCATGCCATGCTGCATATGCTCTGTGGATAAAACATAAATAAAACTAAAGCCGAAGGAAAAGCCAAGTGCATTAGAATATTCTCTTGGGCAGTGCTGCGCTTCGGCCGGTCCTGAATTGGGATCCGCTCAGTGGCGAAAGATTCCATAGGCATGCGTGGAGGCAAAAAGAATCTGGTCAAGGTAAAGTTTAAAGATATTGATATTGTGGATTAGCGCCAATCATGCACCATATGTATGTCCATATATATTATTTGGACACACCATGATGCACCTGAATTTCTGAACTAAGTCTTCTCATGTCCATTTCATCAGATGCACCTTTCTTTAAAATTTCCATCTCCATCCAATGCCCTTGTCTCCCACAAGATACGACAAGAATCGACGCGGTTTTGAGATGCAGCTGGAAATCAACAAAAACCACATATATGTGACATATATGTGACATATATGTGACATATATGTGTTTGAACATGTGTGAACAGTTTGATATCCGTGTACTCTCTGTATCTCTTTGTATCTTTCTGTACTCTGCATTTTTTGGCTACAGCAAAAAAGCGCATTTTCCTAGATGCGCCAAGGCTTGGAACCACGGCTTGGAGACAAAATCGGAGACACGTCGTGCATGCGTACTATTTCTTATATGATAAATATGAATTATGCATATAAATCAAAATACATGTATATATCATTATATACAATTATAAATATGTATATATATAGTTATATATATATATGTATAATTATATATATATATACATATCATTATATATATATATATCATTATATGTATATAGATATATCATTATATATATATAAGTATATATATATATTATATGTAGACATGTACGTTGTTTGTATGATACACTGTGTGTAATATCATTGTTTTTACATATATCATTATATGTCTACGGAGTTCCTTAGGGATCCTTGTATCGTTTGAGAATATTTCAGTCAGGGGGATGGGAGTGCTCTCCTGCAACTGGACCAAAGGTCACAATGTACGGCCTGTCGCTGGGGGAAACAGATGATGAGGAGGCATGCGTGGCCCAACATCTAGCTTTCGAACGCTGTAGATGAGTCTGTTTGTATTCTTTCAGTGTGCCTTTGAAAATCATTCATGTTTTTTTCAATTAGCAAACAACATGTGAATGAAATGGATGGATTTGTGTCAGGATTTCTCTGCTGACAGTGGATGGATTCCGTGGCACAAAGCTCAGCGATTGAGAGGTCAATTCAGCAACAAATCTGGTTTCGGCAGACATCTGCAGGTTCTGTGGATTGAAAGGGCACGAACTGTTCGCGGAGGTGGAGGAAGAATACGCAACTCAGAGAAAATTCATATTACCATCTTTCCATATCTTTCCGGTCTTTCTGCATGTTTGTCCACGTATTTGTTATCCTTGTACACAAGTACAAATAATGCGCTGGTCATGTGCATTGCTTTCAACCTTTGAGTCTCGTCTCTTTGTTTCGCATTTTTGTGATCCTTAACTATTTCTGGTTCGTTTTGTCTTCCAGTTCCACACAGCTTGCTTTGGGACTCAGGTCAGGGACAACTTTAATCTCTATGGTCTGAGACAGTTCGGGGCTCGGATACCATCCATGCCTGGAAGTGATTCAGTAGTGAGAGCACCCGTATTAAGATGTCTCAAGTCCACACGTCCAAGACAGCTGCAGTTACGCCTTGGCAAGCCAAGGCGCTTTCAGTTCTACGAGCATGCTCTTGAGATGATCTTGTCCTCAGAGGAGCAGTATGGAGCATTGTTTTCTTGACTGGCAAAAGCTCGGAGTCCGGATCCGGAATGTTTCAGATGTTGATGAGTTATGATTAGTTGCCGGAGTCACTTTGTGTGGCAATGGTAGCTGTAGAGTTTGGATGTGTGGCGCAAGAGACAACCCACAAGCCCCATGCAGGCACCTGAGGATGATGACCTGGCCGATGCCGAGTTTCTGGAAATCTACAGGTGCCTACCGAAACAAAAAACATATAGCAACTGGTCTTTGTATAGTTTTGAAATTGTTTTGAATATATATATATAATTATAATATATATATATAATATATAATATGTTATATATATATGAGAAGAATAAAGATGTAGGAACACGTTGCCTATGGCGGTGCTGTAGAACAGTGCTGACAAAGCAATGATGACTTCGCTCTTTGGTCCTGGATCCTCTTGTGAACTCTGGTGGTAAACGGATCCTGTGTTGCCAAGAACGGCTAACAGGTTGTAACAGGTTGAAAAAGGTTGAAACATGTTGAAGCAGTTCATTTCAGTATCTGATTCCTGCCGGCCTGCTCAGGGATGCCAGTGACTTGTACGGTCTTCATCTCAGGAAAGCAAGGAAGCAGCAAAGAGACAGGAAGTTGCCTAAAACACAGGCATGGAGAACGTACTTCGTATGTCTTTGTGTAGAGAGGGAATACAGCAAAGTTGAAACTGCAGGCTAGAACAGGAAAGTAGGTCGGAAGATGTTCGGGGATGTGATGTCACCTAATTTCCTGGCGAGTGTGCAAAAAACAGTACATCCCAAGACCAAAACATGAACTGAGAGACGAAGGATGCGCAAGAACAGAAGACAAAACAGAAGAGACTGAATTCCACGGCACCGTGATGCGTCTCATAAGTTCCTGCGTTTCTGTGTGTCTTTTGAGTGTTTTGCAGAATCTGAGCACCACTTCACATGTCACTAGCATCACTGAAACGAAACCAACTGTGCTGAGCACAAAATTGTCAGGTCAGACCAAGCATAAATAGAGCACGCCATAAGCATGAGCTGAGACGACAAATCAGGAAATCACCTACAGCAAGAAGCGGCAAGTATCCTTTTATCCGTTCCCATTTGCTGACTCTGAGTCTCATTATAGAATTCAAACTGTGCCATGTTTCTCGCTTTTGGACTGCCATAAGGTCTTATTCATGCGCGGTATATTGCCTCTCCAAGGGGCCTTCAGGCAAGTAATCTTGACTCAGAGATATTGAGAGAAGCGGATTCCAAATCTGTGAGCCGGGATGTGAGCACTTGCTTTGGATATGCACGAGGCGATGCGTGACAAGTACCTGAAAGGGGTCTTCGGGACTTGCCCCCGGGTGCTTTGTGACAGCACTGGACTTAGATGGATCTTAGATGGTGAGCAGTTTTTGCGCAGTCGCAGTCTATCCCTCGTCGCAATTGATGTCTCGCTGTGACGCGAAGAGGTCTCACATTGCGTTTTCGAGTTTTTGTTGAAACTGTCGCGCAATTTTTGTGATATGTTCTTGACTTTTATGGTGAAACTGCCGCACAGCAACGGCATCCCACAGCAGGACCTCGTTTCCCTTCACCAGTTTCGGTCAAAACATCACTTGATGCTTGAGGGGCTAATGTTGTTTAAATGTTTATGTACAGTCATGTTTATGTAATTAGTGTTATTTTAACAGTAATGTTGTGATGTTTATGTAATGTTTATGTAATTAATGTTCATTTAACAGTAATGTTTATGTGATGTTTATGTAATGTTTATGCAATTAATGTTAATTTAACAGTAATGTCTATGTGATGTTTATGTAATGTTAATTTAACAGTAATGATTATGTAATGTTTATGTAATGTTTATGCAACGTTTATATAATGTTTAGGTGATGTTGATGTGACCTTGATGTAATGTCTATGTAATGTTTATGTGATGTTTATATATGTTGGTTTAACAAGTTCAATGAGTTTTATAGATTGTCATGGGTTTTGATTGTGGAACATCGTGGAACCGCTGGTTGAGATCTAAGTTGCACCGTACCAAGGACAGCATACGCTCCCAATGGGCCTGGCTGAAGATCTCCGTGCTGCGCAGGTGAAGATCTTTTGCCCCAAATGCGAGCAGGCCATGACACCGATGCGGATGCGGGATGGAAAACACATGATGAAGATGATGAAGATTGAAAAAATGTGTTCAAGCAGCGTTAAGCGTAGTTTCTCTTTGTCAATTTCATGACTTTTCCTTGTGAAAAGACATCCAAATTAGATGAGTCTTGTCAGAACTGGCTTTCTGTTTGTTCTAAGCAATCTGAAATCAACATGGCCATTGCTTAGCAAAGCTTTTGGATATTGAGCCATTTGAATTGCCAGAGGTCTACGCAGCCAAGAGCAAGTACAGAGAACTTGATGGAGCTTTTTTTGGGATGTCACTCTGGCATGTGCTGTTTAGATCTGCTTGGATCTGTTTAGTTGAAGTCAACTGTGTCTGTCTATGCCCTGCAAGGAAAACCCAAGTTGCTTTGAATCGGTGCCAGGTCATTCCCGCAGATCTTCCTTCAAACATATCCAACTCTGCTTCCATTGGAAGTACCGAGGCACCCAGCGCGTGAAGCCATGTTTCCGTTTTTTCCAGTATGGTGAACATCAGTTCACAACTCGCTGAATTGACATGCGTACCCACATCTCTATACATTGCTATGCATGTTTGAAATTGTATTCTCATGCCGCGAGAGTTGCAGCATAAACCTTCGAACTAACAATTCTAAGAGATTCCAGGCAAGACAGTCATGCTATTGATAAAGCTGTTCGCATCGTTCGGCTTCAGGCCCTTTGTCCCTCGGGTGTTTGGTATCAAACTCAGATTCATGACGATGTGATTGTGATGGAAGTTTGCATTTGTCCATTTCTGTTTCCCCAAGCAGTGTGTCCACATTGAAGGGTTCTTACGGTCAGTGTTAAGGCTACGTCAGGGTATGCTCTCTGGCCTCCGACTTTTTCATTGCAAATTCTCGCATAAAAGTTCCCTTCTGAGATGTCCATGTGCATTTCGACTGCGCAGGCTCGCAAAAAATGTGGGTACCGGTTTTGTCTGTTTCGATGGTGTCATTTTACTAGCGCGCCGTGCTCGTTTTTTGAGCAATGTCCATTTCATGCGGCAGGCATGCGATTTGGGAACAGTTTGAGATATTTTGAGGTCCAGCACATCGTTTTCCGTGACAAGTGCAGGACATCGGGCATTTTTAATCCGCGTGGCAGACGTGGCACTTTCTGGACGTTGCTACCCTCTCTGCGCTTTGTGCGTCTCAGATCGCCACTCTCGCTGTGGCACGGTGCTCGTTTTAGCCGATTCTCTGAGATCCTGGTAAAAAGATTTACAAATTCTCTGGAAGGTCCTTCTCTGGTGATCTTGCAAAAGTTTCACGGTGCAGTCTTAAAGGTCCGAAATAGGTGAAGCTCTTGACGAAGGTCTTGCAGAGGTCCTTGAGAGCAGATGTGATGAAGATCCTGTTGGCATCTTCTAAGAGGTCCTTCCATGCTCTTGTACAGGTCCTTATGAGAAGATCTTGCGAAGATCCTGCTGGCATCTTCTAAAGGTCATTGCATGATCTTGTACAGGTCCTTATGAGAAAATCTTGCGAAGATCCTGCTGGCATCTTCTAAAGGTCATTGCATGATCTTGTACAGGTCCTTATGAGAAAATCTTGCGAAGATCCTGCTGGCATCTTGTAAAGGTCATTGCATGATCTCGTACAGGTCCTTATGAGAAAATCTTGCGAAGATCCTGCTGGCATCTTCTAAAGGTCATTGCATGCTCTTGTACAGGTCCTTATGAGAAGATCTTGCGAAGATCCTGCTGGCATCTTCTAAAGGTCATTGCAGGATCTCGCACAGGTCCTTATGAGAAGATCTTGCGAAGATCCTGCTGGCATCTTCTAAAGGTCATTGCATGCTCTTGTACAGGTGCTTATGAGAAGATCTTGCGAAGATCCTGCTGGCATCTTCTAAAGGTCATTGCATGATCTTGTACAGGCCCTTATGAGAAAATCTTGCGAAGATCCTGCTGGCATCTTCTAAAGGTCATTGCATGCTCTTGTACAGGTCCTTATGAGAAGATCTTGCGAAGATCCTGCTGGCATCTTCTAAAGGTCATTGCATGATCTTGCACAGGTCCTTATGAGAAGATCTTGCGAAGATCCTGCTGGCATTCTAAAGGTCATTGGCATGCGAAGAGGCATCTTCCATGATCTTGCACAGGTCCTTATGAGAAGATCTTGCGAAGATCCTGCTGGCATCTTCTAAAGGTCATTGCATGCTCTTGTACAGGTCCTTATGAGAAGATCTTGCGAAGATCCTGCTGGCATCTTCTAAAGGTCATTGCATGATCTTGTACAGGTCCTTATGAGAAGATCTTGCGAAGATCCTGCTGGCATCTTCTAAAGGTCATTGCATGCTCTTGTACAGGTCCTTATGAGAAGATCTTGCGAAGATCCTGCTGGCATCTTCTAAAGGTCATTGCATGATCTTGTACAGGTCCTTATGAGAAGATCTTGCGAAGATCCTGCTGGCATCTTCTCAGGTTCTACAGGTCCTTATGAGAAGATCTTGCGAAGATCCTGCTGGCATCTTCTAAAGGTCATTGCAGGATCTCGCACAGGTCCTTATGAGAAGATCTTGCGAAGATCCTGCTGGCATCTTCTAAAGGTCATTGCATGCTCTTGTACAGGTGCTTATGAGAAGATCTTGCGAAGATCCTGCTGGCATCTTCTAAAGGTCATTGCATGATCTTGTACAGGCCCTTATGAGAAAATCTTGCGAAGATCCTGCTGGCATCTTCTAAAGGTCATTGCATGCTCTTGTACAGGTCCTTATGAGAAGATCTTGCGAAGATCCTGCTGGCATCTTCTAAAGGTCATTGCAGGATCTCGCACAGGTCCTTATGAGAAGATCTTGCGAAGATCCTGCTGGCATCTTCTAAAGGTCATTGCATGATCTTGTACAGGTCCTTATGAGAAGATCTTGCGAAGATCCTGCTGGCATCTTCTAAAGGTCATTGCAGGATCACGCACAGGTCCTTATGAGAAGATCTTGCGAAGATCCTGCTGGCATCTTCTAAAGGTCATTCATGATCTTGTACAGGTCCTTATGAGAAGATCTTGCATGCTGGCATCTTCTAAAGGTCATTGCATGCTCACAGGTCCTTATGAGAAGATCTTGCAGGTCCTTGCATGAGAAGATCTTGCGAAGATCCTGCTGGTCATTGCATGCTCTTGTAAAGGTCATTGCATGCTCTTGTACAGGTCCTTATGAGAAATCTTGCGAAGATCCTGCTGCATCTTCTAAAGGTCATTGCATGCTCTTGTTGCAGGCATCCTTCATTGGCACAGTCCTTATCTTGCGAAGATCCTGCTGGCATCTTCTAAAGGTCATTGCATGATCTTGTACAGGTCCTTATGAGAAGATCTTGCGAAGATCCTGCTGGCATCTTCTAAAGGTCATTGCATGCTCTTGTACAGGTCCTTATGAGAAGATCTTGCGAAGATCCTGCTGGCATCTTCTAAAGGTCATTGCATGCTCTTGTACAGGTCCTTATGAGAAGATCTTGCGAAGATCCTGCTGGCATCTTCTAAAGGTCATTGCAGGGTACAGGTCCTTATGAGAAGATCTTGCGAAGATCCTGCTGGCATCTTCTAAAGGTCATTGCATGATCTGTACAGGTCCTTATGAGAAGATCTTGCGAAGATCCTGCTGGCATCTTCTAAAGGTCATTGCATGCTCTTGTACAGGTCCTTATGAGAAGATCTTGCGAAGATCCTGCTGGCATCTTCTAAAGGTCATTGCAGGATCACGCACAGGTCCTTATGAGAAGATCTTGCGAAGATCCTGCTGGCATCTTCTAAAGGTCATTGCATGCTCTTGTACAGGTCCTTATGAGAAGATCTTGCGAAGATCCTGCTGGCATCTTCTAAAGGTCATTGCATGATCTTGCACAGGTCCTTATGAGAAGATCTTGCGAAGATCCTGCTGGCATCTTCTAAAGGTCATTGCATGCTCTTGTACAGGTCCTTATGAGAAGATCTTGCGAAGATCCTGCTGGCATCTTCTAAAGGTCATTGCAGGATCACGCACAGGTCCTTATGAGAAGATCGTTTGGACATCCCGGTAAGATCATCTCTAAGAGGTCCTTGCATGAAGATTTTGCAGATGCCATGTATTAGAGGTGCTTGTATATAAGTTCTTCTGTGATGCTCTTGTGAGGCTCTTGTATCAAGATCTTGCAAGATCCTCTCCAGCAGCAGGTCCCTTTGTGACTATCTTCTGAGATTCTCTTTGGGGTCCTGGCATGAAGATCTTGGTCAAGGTCTTTTACACTTCCTTGTGACAAGATCTTGGTGAGATCCGCTAGGTATCTTTGCATGGTTTCGTACAGGCTCTTGTGAGAAAATCTTGTGGAGATCCTGCTGAAATCCTTCTCAAGAGGTCCTTGCGTCAAGATCTTGAAAATATTTGAAGATGCTCTGCGGTGGTGCTGGTCTGAAAGCTCTTCTTGGATGCTCCTGGGAAGTTCTCTTTCAAGATCTTCTGAGATCCTCTGTATAGAAGGTCCTTCTTTGACCATCTTTTGCACTTCTCCTCGATGTCCTGGTATGCGGTTCTGGTATGAGGTCTTCATGAGTAGACATAGCGTTGATTCTTGTGCCAACACAAGTTCTGCTGCTGCAAACACGATGATGTCTAGCCTGATCTGTTACTGTTCCATAGCTGCTGCTGCTTGTATCTAGTGCATTGACTTCCTACCCCCCACACTGTTTGGGGGCTCTTGCCGGTGTAATTTTTCAAGACCAAAGTGTCGCATGAGCATTTCCACCACCGCGTGGAACCCCATGGGATTCACAGGGATTCCGTGGAAAATGTTTGCTACGCACGGCAGAAAAATGCCGGCCGAAGTTTGATGAACCATCGCGAGCATCCCGAGATGACCAGCAAAATTTTGCCTCCAAGGTTTTCGGATCCACAAGCAAAAATCAGTGATTGCAATTAAGGAGGAGAAGGACTATGCACGTTCGCACATAAGTGCAAAAGGATTAAAAGGTTATCACTTTAAAAAATTGAGTCTTTGCTTTCCCACTCATGGTTTCTCAGTTTCCGGACTGCATCGAACTGAAAGTGAGCATGTTGCATCTCTAATTGGACTGTGCAGGACAGGAAAGAGAGAGCAAAAGGCCATGTTCCACCGGTCGAAAAATGACAACCACTTGCGAGCAGATTCCACCAAATTGACCATCAGCAGTTGCTGAGTCGGCTGATATCTAGACTTCACCAGACATTTTTTTGTTCCCTCTTTGAGATTTTTTGGGGGCAATGAAAACCCAAAGAGCCTCGTGTGTTGCCCGGCGTGCTTCGTGTGCTTCGTGTGCTTTGTGAGGCCGTTGGCAGCAGGACCTTGATGACCTCGAGGCTTGGATGGACACCTTTTCAAACGAATTTCAACCGTATTTCAATCCGTTTAATATTCAAACCACAAGTATCACAAGATGTCACAAGTGTTCATCGCTTTCATCATTTTCATGATTTCCATTCCATGTTTTTCATGTTTCCTATGGTTTTCTATGTTTGAGGGTTGGGGGGTTGAAGCTGCCTTGGGGATGAAGGATTGGATGTTGAAAACAACATTATGGTGTTTTTTGTGTTTCGAGTGTTTCGAGTAACCATTGCAATGGGAACAGTGATGTGACCTCCAACGCAGAGGTGTTGTATTGACAAAGCAATGACAATTGATAAAAGTCGCCGTTGAACGCCAAATTCCATTGCCAGAGTTCCTGCAGTGGGTGGTTTGATTGAAGCCAACTTTCCAGTTTGCATGCGTGTTGCATGCTTGTCGCTAGAGGTAGGAAGCCAAGAAGGCACCCATTCCAAATGCAAACATTGAAGAGATTGAGGAAAAAGAAAAATGACTATACTGCTATGTTGCTAAGCGCTGAGACACTTTGAGAATATTTGAGAGATGTAAAAAGTGATACCGTATGAATTGTTTTGTTCATGTTTTTTTCCGCGTTCTGCCAGAACCATGGATGACGCGAGGCGCAGCGAACTGAGGAACCTTTCTTTGGGTTTGCTTTCACCAGAGGCTTATACGGTATACGCAAGAAGTTAGGCATTACCAAATTCATCCAAATTCCATATGCAAGGAATATCAGTAGGAAACTTCACATACATATATATATATATATACATATATATATACATAGATATATAATTATATATATATATTGTAGGTGTTGTCTTTAATTTTCAGTTTGCGTTGTAGGCAGCTGAGCTACAATGTGCTCAGCAGAGTGGATTCAAATGCCAAAAATCTCGTTGCAAGTTGGCTTTGGAGAAAATGATGGGAAAACATGGTTCCAGCATGTGAAAGCTGAATGCCCGCATGAAAAGTACATTTCGAGCCAAGTACATTCGGAGAAATAGAGAATAAATGTAAAGGTGTTCAAGGAATCTTAAATGACCTCAACTGTATTAATGGTTGCATTCTAACCGAGGGGCAGCTGGGCTCCATGTCAGGCGACTCGAAACCTTCTGAGTGAGTTTTGCCGGCCTGGCAGAAAGACTTTGTACAAAAGAGATCAAACGGAGGCGGAGGTATCACGAACCACGGTATCACCTCTGATAATGTTCTGTCGCAGCTGCACAGTGCTTCCAAGCCTCAGTAAACAAAGCTGGAAAACATTGCTTTTACATGCCTTTATTCTTTACTTTAAATGGGGAATACATTGCTTTTGTTTTTGAATGGCCCTTTTGCCGTGCATCAGATTCGTTGGAGATGTTGAGATTCTGGGCTTGGATTGGCGCCAAATTCGTGCAGGATGCATTTGTCGACAATACAAGCAAAATCAGTGTGCAAGCATAGATTGCCCTTGCCCTGTACATGATGGAGCATAAAACATGGGCTGTGGAGCATGACTGTTGGCTGTATCCGGTATGATGTACTGGCTGGTGTTGGTAATGGAGCACTCTGATGCTTGTTGTCTCTGAGGTGGTTTGTAATGGACAGGCTGAAGATGGTAACTAATCCAGCTAGTCATGTCCTCCAAACTGATTTCAACAGCCCTGGGAGCATCCCCACAACAGCTCCCAGCATTTGAAATGAATGGACCTTTTTCACGGGCTGTCTTCCAGTGGCCTGAGGTATGCTTATCACAGGAATGCAACGGACGGCTGGATTGATAGAATACTGTATTTCCCATTTAGATAAATCAGCAGCTCATTGCAACCTGAGTGAGTGAGTATATGGCCATTCCGAAGCCTTCTCTCATTTTGTAGTGAGGCAGAAGTCTTGTCAGTGTAGCCTCATTGAGGTTTACTCCCACGCTCAAGAAATGCAGGTTGAACAAAAGCAAAACCATTTCTCACAATCTCGTTCTGCACTAATTGCAATGCACACTGCAAACGGCAGGCCTCCCATCATACTCTACACACAACCCTTGAAGAGACTACAGCCCAAAGATTAATGGTGCTTCTAGGTGCCAGCACAGATAGGATCAATCAATCAGGGCTGTTTTTGTTGTGGGGTGCAACCTCACAAGCCCTTCACAAGATCTTAGAAGCTTTGAAGCGCGCATCAAGAAGTCTTGTACTTGCTCTGCTTACAATTTGCTCATCAGTGGCCATGGCGCCAAAGGCATTGCCGAGTAGAAATGCACGCCTGGCCAATCTTGATCCTTTGTGTCTTTTTGTTCTTTTTCTTCTTTTCGTTTGTTCATTTTGTTCCAAAGCACTCCTGGTGGCCACTAGAAAGCGTTTCATTTGGACGCCATCCCAATGAAGCCATATCTGTAAGCCATCGTAAGCCATTGCGTTCATGGTCCGTAAGCACTCGATGCATCTAACCATGACTAATTAATCACGTGTGTTTGTCTCAATATGGTGGAAGATGATGAAGATCGCATGCTGTACTCTGAATGAACAACACAAATAAAATCTTGGGTATCTTGGACATGACCGAAGTCTATTTGCCTCTTGTATTCTCTGCCGTTGTCGCAGGTCTCCACAGGTCTCTGCAGGTCTGAAGTCTGTCTGATTCTCTTCTGTTCTCTGAAGATTTTGTTCTTTTTTGTATCGTTTGTCTCTCTCGCCAGGTTCCTACTGCAGTCATGAAGATGATGGTGCCGAGGGACTTCCTGGCACATTGAGAATACATTGAGACAATTTGTGACAAGTCAACAAGTTCGACAAGTTGGTTTGAGAAGACGGAAAAGGACGTAACAACAGGAAGCCACGCCTGAAACGTTTTTTTCTAAAGTCTAATTTTGATCTGATTTGTACAATGATGCACAACAATGTACAATTGACAAGTTCATCAATGTTCATACCGTAGTTCATACTGTATTCGTACTGTATTTACACTGTAGTCATACTGACATAGTCTTTCCAGTGCTGTTCAGGTGACTCTCAGACTGAAAAGCGGCTTTTTCTTTCATTCATCTTCTTTCATCTTTATTCTGCATTTTTTTTCTGAAAAGTGCATTGCATCTTGGCACAACAGGGTACCTCTCTATATCCTCTTTGCTTTGCGTGGCAGGTTGTAAAATCCAAGGCATCCAACACAGCGCCGGCCGCGAACACGGCACGCTGGCATGTCCATGTTGTGAACACTTTGGCTTCTATGAACTTCGATGTGTTCCAACTTTGGAAGTCCTGGGGCCATTGCTTTCACAGGTTCCTTTGGTGATGTGACTGCGCTTCATGTCTACTGAGAAAGGTTCACTAAATAAAATTGTTTGATTGCAAGACTAGCGCATCTTTACGATTCAGAGAGTGGAACAACAGAGTTGGACGCTGCCGGTTTCAATCGGTTTCAGTTAAAGTTTGGTGCAGGCGCTATCCACTGCACTGGAGATCGTGCCACTCAGCTGAGAGTAATTGAAGATCTTGGGTCCAGTACGGTGCAGTTTCACAAGAGGCACGAAAAGCATTTCTTGGAGCTTTGTCTCATCTGCATTCATCTTCATTCATCTACATTCATCTACATCATCATGGCTTTATGGCTCAAGACCTTCGCTTTGTTTAATCTGTTCAGCTTTTGCACAAAATCATCAAACATGTGCACATTGTGTACACTCTTATAAAATATGTGTTGGTGAAAAAATGATATTCTATAGTTGTTCCTGCGATTGGTGGATGTGTCTCCATAGCTGGTCGTAGCTGGTGAACTTTTGCTGTGGCAGTTGAAAGATGTTGACAGCCTCAAGGCCATGCGAGTTTCCGGTGACGCTAAGCCTTAACCAGAGCGCCTCGTTGGGGCGCCAGTAACGTCTGGTCATGAGAATGGAAAGGAGCAGTAACGAGGAAACGTTGCACGTCACACTGTGAAATGCCACAACATCACCCACAGAAACGACACAGAAACGAGTTCCCATATGCACATGTCAAGAAGCTGAAACAAAGCGACCGCACAAATGAGACTTAAAGGCGTTCCGGAAGGCAAAGGGGCAAAGTATCAAGGCAAGTTAAAATCGAAAAGTGATAAAAAGTGCACAGTGGGAAACAATTCACAGTCTCCTTCTCTCCGACTCTGAAATTCTCACCATGGACATGCCCCAGGTTGGGTGCAGAACTGGATGCATCGGATGGCAAAACTCTGCTGGTGCGTACAGTCAGTGGTGGTGCCTTGGGTGAGTGGTGTGGAACTCAGGACAGTGGACCAGGTAGGACCAGAGAGGAAGCAGAGGAAGCCAATATGTAAGATACAGAATTTCAAATTTCAAAGATGAAAGACTCAAAGGACTCGAAGGAGAAGGCCAATCTCCTGGCACAGCGGTTGGAAACCATGGCTATCCTTTTCTTTCATGACTTTCATATATGTGTACTGTACGGTTCACACCAGAGGGATGTTGACTCAAAGCTGGCTGACTTTTGAGTACCTGTCTGTAACTAGCCGCCTAGGGCCTAGGGCCTAGGGCCTAGCCCATTTGATCCGCTCCTTTCCAAAAGCCCCAAAGCGGTGTGCATCCCTAAGCCCGGGAAGGACCTTCCTAGAGTTGTCAAAAGGCAAAAGAAATAGAATCCTGGAAAGGATGAAAAGGATTGAAAAGGATTGAAAAGGCTCATTTCCATGATTTCCCAGCTCCTTCACTTGCCACTTTTTGTTGCACTGCGGCACTGCCCCCAAAGGAATCACTTACATCCACTGCTATCTATCCAGCGGGGTGATCGCATTGTGGCAGTCAAGGCCTCAAGGCCTTGGAACAGCTAGTGGTGGGACGTCCCATGAAAGTGATGCCATTTCAAAATATGTAACACACACACACACATATATATATAATATATATATATATCATATATATATAATATATATATATATATATCATATATATAATATATATATATATACACATGATATCTCAAATGATTGCAACCTTTTGCCAAAGCCTTTTGCGGGGATAGGAACATAAAGAAAGCACAGTGAAGGCTCGACTCTAAAGTACTGGAAGTACATGTGTTCGACAATCCTTGAGTCGCAATCTTTTTTCGACTGCTTGCCTGAGGCTGCCTGTTCCCCCCGAAGATTCGCCCATTGGCCTTGTCATTTCTCTGAATCCCTTGAAATAGTTCAAACATGCTTACAACATGTTTACAATATGGTCCAACATTTAGGATGTATATATTGTTTGTGATTTGTTTATATTGTGTTGACATATTTTCCGCTTCATTTTTCTTCAAGCTCCCCACCTCAAGCAGCATTTTGCCGAGGTGAACCATCGCAGTGCTGATGCACAGGCGCGGTGAAGAGGGAAGGGAAACGGTGCCTAAAAACGGATTGAAAATGGTCGCAAGATGTTGCATGTCTCGTGTTCACTTCTTTTTTGCCCTATATTTAGTAGTTTTCCATAGTTTTTCTATGTTTTCCTTGGCTTGATGTAGGCAGCCCAAGGTGCTTGCGGTCCTTACCACGGTGCTTGTCAAGGTGTTTGCGAGCGACAAGCTTTGCCTCGCCTTTGCACGGCCTTGGCTCGACAGAACCCGACGAATCCAATGAACCCGAACTCGACAGAAGAAATGTCTGCATCCATCTGCGTCATCTGCGTCCGCCTCGCTTCGATGGGTCGATGGTCGAGTTGCGGCACTATGTGGAGCTGAAGCTGAGATAGAAATCTTAAAGATATTAACATTGAGGAACATTATGGACTACAGTACTACTTGTATTGTAGGATTTGAGAGTGAGCGGCTGAGAATCTGTCAGAACGGAACTTGAAGTGCTGAAAGTATCGGACCTATAAGCTCTGCGTCACATTGCAGCTTCGAGGCCCAAAGATCCTGAAGCGATGCATTGAAAAAGTCATTGAGAACTTTGATCATGAGACTCTTCACACTCTTCAGACTCTTCAGACTCTGCTTCTTGACGTCTCCGAGGGGCAGAGCAAAATGCTCCAAAGAACGCGCCAGATTCACAGCCCTGAATGGATCTGAATGGATCTCAATGGATCTGAATGGATCTAGTTCAAGCCCAACTTGAGAGAAGAGAACGCCTTGATGAAAGCCTTGATGAAAGCCTTTATCGAGATGGAGCATGAACTTCTGATGGCCCGTGTCAAGCACCAGCTCCATTGGCCAAGAAAAGCTTCAAAGGTGGTGTAGAGAGTTCGGGAATAACAACGAATAGACTGAATAGAGTCTAAGGTCTAAGGTAATAGGGAAGGCTCTACAAATCAAGATCATCCAAGACATTTCTTCTAAGATGGACTCTGTATGGCAAAGTTGACTTGAGATGTGGCAATCCTGTTCATATCTTATTATATCTTATTATCTGTTCATATCTGCTGAATTCCGTTGATAGTTGCACTTGTTTATCATGTGTTTATCATCTGTTTCGGGGGATGTCCCGATTGACGGCCAGGGAACTGGCATGGATAAGGCAGTGATACAGAGTAGGCAGTAGATATCCGATATCTGATATTATAAACAACATTGAACGACTATACACTAGAGTAGTATACCCAGTAAGATTCAGTAACTACTCAAGCACACTCAAACTATTTTCGAAACAAGAATCACTTTTTGGGCCTAAGGTCAAACTTTTCCTGAGTTTTATTCACGTGGGGATATGATATTGTGAGATCATTGTGAGATCTAGCCTGCTGGGCTCGGGTTGAAATGTAGCATGGGCGCTGGCAGATGACCAGCTCGTCAGGCTTCTGCTGGACTAAGTGTGAGGAACGGCTTGCCGGCAGCGCTTAATGCAGTGCATAAAATTGCATAAACAAATATGAAACATATGTAATGCGTGTTTACAATGGTGGTATGAGCCATGTGCGCCCACCCACTGAGAGTAAATAACATGCCGTGATTAATGTGTTTAATCTATTGCAATCCCAGCATATCCTAGCTAATGATGTGGTTTCCCAACTAGAACGCATAACCGTAGAGCTACTCTTAGAAGGGGAGCGCATATGCACATACCCGGCCATACTGCTTTACCAAATCCGAAACCAAGTGCTTTGATCAAAATCTCCTGAAAACCAGGGTATGGCTTCTCTCTAAGGCGATGCTCATGGAGATCCGGGTGTGAACCTTAGCATATCTTAGCATATCTTAGCATATCTTAGCATACTCCGGATTTCTACAAAGAAATGTCAGATGAAAGCCTTCTGAATTGTTTTGACATGTTTTTCCAGATTCATTTTGTGAACATGACATGTTTCTCGAGCCTTTTAACAAACCAGGCTTCAAAGAGGTTGCGAACTCTGTAGCTTTGAAGATTTTTGAAAGGGATAGACGTCTTGCCCGCCAAGACGTGGGATGTGAGCGGAGCAAAGCAAAGTCAAAAATGGTGAAGCAAAGTAAAAATTGATTAAGCAAAAGACCTTTTCTATCCTTTTCTCACCTCTAAAGACTCCAGAGACTGTAGAGACTCTAGAGTCTAGAGGTTGTTTTTAGCGTTTTTCCTATGCTTTTCTCTAAGGTTGCAGGAGTCCTTCGAATGCTTGTGAGGTCGGCGCAGTCATGGCTTCACAAGCACATCTGATACGGTGAAAACTTTGAAAAAAGCGTAGCAGCATGTCACACCATGCGTTTGGAAGAATCACCAAGATCTGTGGCAAGTGATAAAAAAGGATCCTACGGGGGCCTGGTAGCATCAAAGTCATGCCAGGAGCTTTCGCAAGCAGTCTCTGCAGTCTCAGTCCCTTTTGAGTGGAGCTGGTACATGGTTGGTGCCTGAGTTTATTTAAAGCCCTTCCAAGCACGGGATCAACTTCTGCCGGTTCTGCTGTATATATAATACTCATTAATACTCTACATATATTATATATGTATATATATATACAAATTTTATAGTCAGCATTTAACAGCATTCAATTAAACTTCAACGTTCTTCAGCTTGGACCGGTCTTGTTTTGTGTCCGCTCCTAGGCCTTTGAAGCCCCTAGAAGAGTCCAAGAAGAGGTCAGAAGTGGATGTTTCAGTTTGATGGGAAGGTCAATGGTCAGCTTGTAAGGTTTATTCTGTCTCCATGAAAGTGTGATACAAGTTATGTAGGACTAGATTTACTAGATAGTGTGAGTGCGCTTGAGTGTGCGTGGGCACATTGCTTGTGTCCGAGTCCGCTACTTGCATTTGGCCTTTACCTGATCTTCTTCTAAATGTTCCAAGTTGTTTCAAGTTTTTTCAGATTCATATTGAATGCATTTGGAATATCTCAGACTTTTCCTCAGAACAAGTTCTGTTCATTGACAAAGGGATGATGCTTTCCTCCCTGCATCGAAATTGGTTGAGGACAAAGCAGATGCATTTCGCTGATGGTCTTTGCTTTCTCTAGTACCTTTGCCACCAGAGTGACAGCGTTGTGACATCCAAGGGAACAGACATACTCTCTTCAAATGCACCTGCTCACAGCAACGTTGCTAGGAACTGCTGGGACAGTGACACAGCAAGGATGACTGCAATATCAATCAATATCATATACAGTCTATACATGTCTATACAGTAGTATTTGGATGTATTTGGCAGGTCAAATGGCACGAAATCATCTCGAAATCCTTTCACGCTTGTTCGGAAGCTTCACACCTTCTGTTACCTCTTGCCGCTTCATGACGCCATGGTATGATCACTACAGACCAAAGTCGTCTGTACCTGGGCAATGGCGCACGCCGGTGCATCTCAGCTGAAAAGATCTTTAAAAATCTTCAGAATCTGAGACACTTAGAGACCTTTGTTCCCTTCATTGATCATGGTGGCGACTAAAATCATTGCTTCTTTACTGGTCCCCCAAAACAAAACACTACCAGATCCAGTGGACAAGGTTTGTCACACACATACACACTATTCCAATAATTCTTAGGGCCAATCCCATCGAAGTGACTTTCAGACTCCTTCAAGTGGGCAGTGGTTTATCAAAAGTTGGTCTGAGTGCATGAAAAGCCGCTTGAGTCCGCTTGAGGCTGGAAGTGCCATACTATGCAGCATCCTGTTTTAGTTTCACGCTTCTTGGGCTCTTAGTGGGCTTTTACCGTCAGTGGCTCAGGCATGCGCAGAGCGCAGAAACTGTTGGAGCGTTGTACCGCGTTGTACCGATTCGGTCTTCAACCAACAAGGGTCAAAAATATATTAAAATATCACCACTGCGGGTTTCAGGAGAAACCCAGCGGAGTGGTATATGGTGTGTTCATGCGTGCTTTGTGTTGACAGGTTTGTATTTTAGGGTCTAGCAATGGACATTTGCAAAAGGAGACAGAGTGAGATAGCGATGTTGGTGACTTCTTTTCGTCAGTTGATGCATTTTGACGCGTTTGGAACTTTGACGATGAGGCGAAGAGCTGACGACTAAACTGCCCTGTTTATTGCCGTGGACTTGGATGACTGTATTGCTCATTTTGCAGGACGGGGAGTCAGACCGAGTCAGACCTAAGTTCTGAAGAAAGTTCTGAGGTTCCAACAACAGCACTGTGGTCAGATGTGCATCACTAATAAGAAGTACTGGTACACCCACTTGGTAAGGGCAGCAGAACGGGTGTGATCAAAGTCTGTTTGAGCAAGTGTTGCAAATTGAGAACGAATCTCGGAATCTGCAAAGAGCATCAAAGAGCCAGTTCCTTGTCACTGCTTTCACTGCTTTCACTGCTTTGGCTTTTGATCTTTGTGGAGACCTGACTCTGGCACCAGGGATTCGCATCCTTCATGGCAGATGTTTATAGCTTGGCAAAACCGTCCTGGTGGCATTTGGTCGATGCGTTGCAGGACCGGGCAGAAGTTCACAATGAAATGATGAAATGATAATGAAGTGTATTGAAATGTCATGCTGAATTAAAACATGGATTGCATTTGTACTTGGCTTCAAGACTTGCATCAGGTTTCAAGTCATTTTTGAGCTTGGACATGTATATAATCCCATTCAAAAGCCCTCTGTCGCACCATAATGGCCTTTCGCAAATCAAAACGTCAGACAGAAGTTTGATTATGTGTATATTGCATATTATTCAACATTATTTAATCCATGTTACAAGTAGATATGTGACTTTATATAACGACATACAATGTTTTTGTGTTTCTATCTGAAAGTGTTTAGGCCCGTGGTTAAATGCGCTTCTCATGGTGGGGAAGGGGTCCGCCAGCTTTTAGGCCTCCTTCCTTGTGGGCATCTACACAGAGGACGGATTTGTCCAAGTGGTGTCGGGTGCGAAGCATGATGAAGCGGAGTGTCAAAAAATGTTTGGACAAAATGCAAATCCTTTAGACATCTTTAGACACTCAAACAAGACATTCTATTTAATTCTATTTGATAATTTGGTTGTTTTTTCAAGTTTTTATGTTTTTTCTCTTGTAGCTCTTGCAGTCAGTCCTTGTCGATTTTGTTTTGCTTCAACGTGCAAAGTGCAAAGAGTCCAGCAAGCCCAGATTGGAGGTTTCTTCCAGGTGAGGCCTCAGGCTTTTGCAGATGTTGCAAGATGTTGAAAGCATTGCAACGGTTGCAACGGTAAACATCATCGTTTTGTGCCATCATTTTGTGCCATCGTTTTGTCACCGCCAGGTCATGATCTTCGGTTTGTCACATGGTACATTGCGTGGGTCGCTGCAGCTGCTTTGTGCTTCCACTGGATATATGGGCGCAGTCATGGCCTTTGTAAGGAGCGTAATGGGAGCATGGGACGCGCAAGCAATGGGTGTGGTGGACACGGTCGGCAAGTCGACACTTTTAGTAGTGAAACAAGTGAAATACCACAACAGCAGGTATTAAATATCCTTGGAACAGCTCATATGCCCTGGAATGTGCAAAGCTAGAACGATGAAAGACAAATTACAAAGATCTTGGATAATCAATCATGTATATTGAATCTTATGTTCATAGAGCAATATACAATCAGCAGGTTTCCTTAGATATTGATTTTCTGGTTCGTGTTTGAATCTCACAGCGCCGCCTGGAGGTCCCGCGCTTCGAGGAAAGGTGCTGATGCCTCTCCGCAGAGATATGCATTTTGGCACAGTTTGTGGCACTTCATTTTTCCCGCCTCTTCCTGTGGTGTTGCACCTTGACAAAAGAGGCAAAGATGGGTAAAGAACGGCCGCTAGAGAGGACACATGGCCCTCAAAGTTTCATGGAAAGACATCAAAAGAGATATTTGACCTTTTTCAAAAGCATGTGTCAGTGGGGAAAGTTACTCAGATTGCAAACCTGATTGGAAAATATTGGAAACAGTGGAATGTTTCATTTCTGTGGATCAAAAGCTCACATGTTTTGCATTGATCCTGCGTTGTGTCCTTCCTTCGTCTTCTGTTGGCTGTGAGCGGGCACCTGCGAGGCTTGAGGTGTGACGCTCTGTGACACTTTTGTTTTTTGTTTATGATATGTCTGATATGTACTGAGATGTGTCTTTGGACATCTTTAGACTTTTGATTTGTGTCAATCCATAGATTTTTGGCTGAGGTTCTCCTCTCTGTGCATGTGCCTGGCGATGCTCCTTCTGGTCGTTCTCCCATCGCCTACATAGCCTTTGTACTCGCTTGCATCCTGGTGCGCTCGGATTTCTGGGACGACGTTCCAATCTCGATGGCACGTTGAAATTCAGCTCAATGCGCTCGATATGTTATACTGTAAATATATATATAATTATATATATATATAATTATATATATATAATTATATATATATTTGTAAGTGTAGTTGTATGCATGGGTGGGTGATTGAAGCTGAGTGTGTTTGTGTGTGTTGAACGGAAGAGTAAGAGGTGGTTGGAGAATCACTGAAGGCGGTTGAGCAGAGAAGCAAAGTTGACCCTGGCAGTGACCGTGGCAGGTAGGTCTTCTGTGGGCTGTGTACAACTCCTTCGTCTCCAGAGGGCATGGCAAAGAGAATAGCTGAAAAGGTGTTTCCGCTGCCGCAAGCCACAAAATGTGTTACATGTGATCATGAACCTCTTTTCTAAACGGAGCAGATTCAACATGTGTTACATGTGATGTGTTTACCTTCGACGGTGTCACATTTCAGTTTGATTTCAGAAGGGGATGTGACCGGTGTTTCGTGAGTCTCAGGCCTGAGACAGACTCCGGAGATTTGTACGCCGGGATGCCAGCGTTGGAATCTCAAAACGTGGCTAGAGACGAGGAAGGACGAGCAAACCGTGGCTTGATGAGATGGCTTTGAAGATGGCTTCGAGCGTGGCAAGAGCAGAGAAAAATGATGAATGAACTCTTGCTGAGGCCAGATCCAGAGAAAAAAGTCACACCTTCCAAGGACATTGCACATTTTGTTTGAAGTGATACAGGATAATGATTGCAGAAGTCTTTACAATTCTCTGGTAGCTTAGTGAAGAGATGTCTGTGTGTGTGATTGGTTCATTGCTTGATTGATTGATTGATAGACTGTTTGATTTATGGATGCGTGATTGATAATGATTGACAATGATTTTTTTACTTATTTATTTACTTCTTCATTTATTTACATATTCATTTGTTTATTTATTCATTTGTGCGTGTTTTGTTGATTGATTGAGTCAAGTTCGTGTTTTGCGCAGGATATCTTTGCTGATCCACCAGCCAAAGAGGAGCAATGAGTTTTGCACAAGATGTGCAAAGTATGTACAAAGTGGCATGCCTAGTACATATACATACACACACACACATATATATATACATACATATGTATATATATATATATGGTCCCGGCCGACGCCAGCAACCCCCCCCACAATGCTATCCCCCCCCAGCAACCACCTCCATGGGGGTGGCCTAGCCATCTACGATCCGTCAAGATCTCATATGCTATACTTACAGCATGTCACATGCTGGCCTCGTGCCACCATGTGCCATGTGCCAATGTTTACTACAGGACATTTGCCACAAGTTTTCCCGTTTGATCCGGTGACAGTTCTTTGTCTTGGGATTTTCTCGGCATCTTTTGACAGTTTCAAGCCTCTTCAGTGGCTTTGTTCTGCTTCAGTTTCTTTGAACCCCTTCAACCCGGTTGTGATCCGCTTTCTGTATCTTCATTCGTTTCGTTACCTTGCAGATTGTTGCATTGCTACGGCCGCTTGGGCTTTGACCTTTCTCTCAGGATTTATCCTTGGCAATCTTCCTGGACATCGATGGAGTTCTTCGAAAGTCGGCAATCTGAGTCTTCTCCCTTCTGTAGATGTAGAGGCCGTGAAGGACAGGGGAAAAATATGAAAAAATGATAAAGGACAACAAGAACAGGACCAAGGCAAGTACGAAAGAGACTAGAGCGTCTTGCGGGGAATACACAGCACAAGACACACCTTGACTTGTATAGACACTAGGAGCTCCTTAGCATGAAAATCATCCACTGATTTGTACCACTTTTTGCTGAGCAACATAATCTCTATCTCGAAATCAATCTGAATGATGCTTGTAACATCGTGGCAGTGGCCACTCAAGGTTGGAGAGCGTTCCAATGATTACTGTGAATGGGGGCACCTTGCCTCTTGATTTGCTCGGACCTCAGCAATGCCAGGCACTTGGGGCACAACCGTAGCACCATAGCTGTTGTGTGTGTGTTTAACGTGATTTTAGCATATTTTAGCGATTTTAGCTGCGTGTCCACTTTTGATTGACCGATTCGACAGTGATCCGTGCAGCTGGCCTTTGATGTTCTTTGCCGGCCTTGCTCCAGCCTAGGGGCAATCGTGCGCTGTTACCTGAAGCACTGCGAGCTCTCAAGCACCGGGGTGGGATCGAGGAATGTCAAGGGATGTCGAGGGATGTCGAGGGGACAACAGAGAATTTGCGAATTGGAGCGGCAACTCGGGACACGAACCCTTGAGATTCTAGTCATTTCCACGCAATTTGCTTCGCCAGCAAAAACAGGGGCATCTTTGCAAAACTGATCCAGAGGCATTTGCTTATTCTGTAGAATGCAATATATGCAATATGATGCAATATATATATATAGAGAGAGAGAGAGAAAGAGTGATGTGTGCGTGTGTAATATGTTCAAATATATGTAATGTATGTGTCAGTTAATCCAATATATGATAATATATGTAGTACATGTGATATATGCAATACACGCAATACATGGCATGAAAGTTGTCATAGCTTGTCCATAGAGCATTGCAGGATGCAGCGCTCAGTCAGATATTGCAGCAGGTACTTGATACACCTTACGGGCGCGAGCTGGGAGACCCAGAGTCCCTGCCACCGCAAGCTTCGGTGGCTTCGGTGATAAGTTTGCAGAGAAAAGTTGCGAGAAAAGTTGCTAGATGAGTCTAGATGAGTCAGAATATTTTTATGATTTGATATGCTACAATGATGGCAGTGACAGAAATAATCAGGAGTTGATTGGGGGGCCATTAAATGCGGGTTCGTTCCAAAGTGAATCCATCGAGTTCTGTTTTGTTTTTTGTCGCTTTTATTTGTATCATTTGTTTTCTGACGCAGTGTTCACCTCATGCATTGCCACGCGTGTGGTTTACGGTGTGGCGTACGGTGTGACGTACGCAGTGACATCAGTGACGCATCGTGGTGTCATGCCGGTGATGCATCGTGGAGTCCACCGGGATTCGCCCCTGGGACATACGTCACACCGAAGGTCTCGTGGTGTCATCGGAATGGCGAAGAAGTTCGTCACTGCTCGAAGAGGCTTCAGGGCGCCCACAGAATAACGAAGAACACGGAAAAACACAGAAGAACAAAGAAGAAAGTTTTGAAGAAAGATAAAGGTGATGAAGAAAGCTGAAACAGTGCATGGTTTGAGAACGAAAACAGAAGGGCAAAGAGAATCGCCGAGATCTTGGTCTCAGACAGGTGCTGGAAAACAGAACGGGATGCATGTTGCACTGACACATTGAATCCTTGCATTACGTGCAGCCACTCATGACACTCTTTAGGGTTACATATCTCTGTAGCTGAAGTATTCAAGTAGACAAGTGATATCAAGTGATGCACTCAACATTGAGCAACCTTGGAATCCCATTCAACTCTAAAGAAAGTGCAGATTTTGTGCAGATTCGACCCAAACGAAGTTCATCTCAGGCCCTTGCCTTTTTCCGATATTCTCAGAGCCCTATTTTCCTTGGTCCAGGCACAAACCGCGCTCAGAGCACTGGGCATGTGACAAGCTTAGCCCTGAAAGGCCCTTATTCAGACTTTCCGACTTGCAAGACTTGAAGTAGCTGATATAAATGGAGGTTAAATTTAGTTGAATCAACCAATAATTAAAGCTTGATACACATACTGAGGCACAACTAACCTCCTTTGTCTAAAGCAGAGCGCATAAAGACGACTAGCTAGATAATGCTAGAGGCAGTATGTCAAAGAACGACGGCAAGAGGCTGTCAATGCTGCAGGCGCGTGAGAGGAGTTACCCCTGTTTTGCGCCCACGAGAGGAGACGCGGGCAGGGGCTGCACAGGCCTTCTGTGACCCTCACAGCAAAGGATGAGAAGTTCAACGGTAAGTGTGTAATGGAATGTATATAATGGATACGCATGGTTCCAGTGAAGTTGAGTGGAACCAGAAATTGAGATCCAGCTTAGTCTAGAAAGGTAAGCCATCGCAAGAGTGGCCGGCACATGTTTGCTCTGGTGTGTATCCCTTTGAAAGTTGTTGAAAGCATTCACATGATAATCACATTATTCACATGACGTTCATTGCTCGGTGCTGATGTTCTGTCATGTTCTGTCGATCTTCGTCCCTTTTCGATCCTTTTCGGATTTGCCAGGATCTCTTTGTTGGTACAAAGCTCGATCCGGACAAGCAGGTACAGGTCCTGTACAGGTCATAGGAATTTTCTACTGTCCAACTGCCCAAATGCCAAAAGATACTCGACTCTGAACTTTTTGCTCAAAGTTGGATTTTTAGGGTATACATATATGCAAATGGTAAGAAGTCTGGGAAGGAGGAATACAATTAAGTTGCGGTCGATCCTCCATGATGAGTAATGATTTGCATGATTCTTGGGAAGCTAATGATATTTTTTTCTTTGTTACAAGAACCCTTGGACAGATTTGAAATGTGCTCTCGGGAAACGGAGCCCGGACTTGTACATTGCCAGGAGGTTTCCGTGGCACGCGTTTCGTTTTGACATTGCTACAAGAAAGCCGGAGACACTATGTGTGCAATTTGTTCTCTGGTGAATCCTTTTTACCTAGTGAATAGGACCACCTTCATAGTAGTTACATGTACTTAGAGTACTGTAACATGCAGCAATTTGAATCGTCCTTTTCCAACATCAACGTTTATCCGCCCCCTGGCCTCCATGACACATCCTTCAACAATCTTCAAATTTCATGACACTTGTGACATCTCAATAACTTTGGAAATCTGCGCATATCTTCGCATGTTCTCGTTTTCCCAAGCATTCCGAAGCATTCGAAAGCCATTTTCAGACGATTTTGGCATTCGATTTCAGGCCACACTGCGGCTTCGGTGGGCGGAGCGACGTGCCCGTGAAATCACCGCCTGGCTGCAAGAGCACAGGGAGGCGATTCGCGGGAAACATATCAAAGATCTGCCGATATGGTGAGCGATATGGTGAGAATGGTGAGAAAGTATGAGAAAGTGAATAAAGGATCAAAGTCAACCTTACACAATTTCTTAACACTCCCCAAGAAAGCGAGAAAACACTGATTATAAAATTGTGTAAACCCTGAATTTCAAGATATTGTGAGATTGTAATCGTTGATCTGTCTGCACAGCTGCGGATCTTTGGTTTCGCAACTTCTTCCTTGGAATTCAAAGATGTCCAAAGTGGGCATTGACCAATCCATGCCTCTGAAAGTTTCCAACTTGGATCAAGCACTTGCCAACTCGCCAACTCGCCAACTCAAAGCTTGCTGCGGTGCTTCAAACTTGTGAAGTCTATGAAGTTCTATTCACACATATTCGCACACTCATGAAGACTGACAATACGGACTTCTCATGGCAAATCTTGGCATGCCTTAGCTGTGACTTTGATATCTTTGATTCATTTTGATTCCATTGATAGACTTTGTTTATCTGTGTTTCATTTTTTCGACCATGGGTTCAGCAGTTGAACATGATTTAGTGACGCACGCTGGAAGGTTCGCCACTGGATCGCTCTTGATGATTTGGATTTGACCATTGCTGATGAAGCAGCGATTCGGAGCCTTGGCTGTGATTGATGTTGCATGGATGTTACAATGTCACAAGATGAAGTCTAGTTATGATAGCGTATTGCAAAGTTCATTACAAAGTAGTACAAAGTATGTACAAAGTCAAACAGTTAAACATTTTCTGTGGTCTTGAAATGTCTTGAGCCCCGGTGCATTTTGACGACTGGGCTTTGAAGTGGGCTTTTCCATACGCTTCAGCTGAGGAGTGCTGATACGAACAGATCTCAGTTTGATTCAGTTTGCAACAGTAAATGTTTCTAAACTCTAAATGGTGGAACCTGTGGACGTGTTCTGTCTTCTATTTCTGAGTTGGAGCATAGCTTCGGTTGAAGCTACGGATTCTAAGAAAAAAAGCAGAAGCAGAAGCACCAACTTTTCAGATCTTTTGAGATTCTTTGAGAGATTCTTGTTATTGCTTGTAAACATTGCTGTTATTGCTTGTTCCATTTCTTGAGGCTCAAGATGGGCCCCTTTCTTGTTTTAGTGGATCCAGAAGTGGGGCCTGACACTCACGAGAACGCAGGGCAGACTGCAGTGTTTTTCGCAGGAACTGATATTGCTCTTTTCTTATTCATATATATAGTCCTTTAAAAGTAAGAGATGCCACAACATGAAACGATTCTGAATCAGCCTGAATCCATCCTTCTGAAGAGTAGAAATTATGAATCTTGCTTTTTGACAAATTTTGACCCAGTGACCCTCACTCATGCGTACCATTTTGTAGCAGTATCTGTATGCATCTGTTCAGATGCCAAGGCTAACCATGAGTCATGCAAGGCAATCTTCTGAATGGCTGCAGCGGCCTCAGGTTCTATGAGAAGTGTCTCCACATGTCTGCACTCTTTTGATCTCTTGTGATCTCTTCTGGCCTTTGCCACTGCCCGCAAACTCCCGGCAATCTTTGACATCTTTGTTGTAAGTGAAAAAACTTGTTTTTTTCCTCTTTAGCTGTTCTGGGAGGGTTTTCAAGCTAGCGTGCCGCAATATGCGCGACGTGCATTTGCGCTGTAGAGTAAGGTTGTCAGGTTGGTTTGTTTCTCTCCTTAGCCCAGAAGTCAGCTGACTGGATTGTAAACGGTGTGGCACGTTTCTGGCCGGCTATATTATATGTTGCGGTGAAGTTGTTTTGATTTGTGAACATATATTTCAGAAGTGGTGTGATGATTGCTTTGTTCAATGGTTTGTCAAGCATGCGCCCAGGCTGGCCAAAAAGGAGAGGCCGCGCAAGATGGCCCGAACATGAGTTTGATAGGGACATGCAGTGACATGCAGCATGCAAACACGACCCGGACGACTAACGTTGCAAAAGCAGACAGCTCTTCCAGGGCGTAGCATCTCAGCACGATTTGTTCACAAAACTGGTGCGATTCGCATGAACCCAAACAGCAGAGGTATGCCTTG